TACAGATAGGTAGCAGTGTTGGTCTGCCATAGTCAAAACAAAAAAAATTCCTTCCAGTAGCACCTTAAAGACCAACTAAGTTAGTTCTTGGTATGAGCTTTCGTGTGCATGCACACTTCTTGTATCTGAAGAAGTGTGCATGCACACGAAAGCTCATACCAAGAACTAACTTAGTTGGTCTTTAAGGTGCTACTGGAAGGAATTTTTTTTGTTGTGAATTCTGAGGTGAACTCAGTTGATCTACCCCTGCTAGACTCTTGCAGATCATGCCAAGATTATCCTTTACATTCTGCATTCCTTTGAATTCTGCAATACCGTTCCAACTCAACCCCCCCCCCAAAAAAAAACACTCTACTGGAATGTGTATTTGGATACAATATATTTAGAAATGCATATACTGATGTAAGATGTATAAGTATACATTTTATATCCATGTATGCATTTCTAAATATATTGTATCCAAATACATACCATATTTGGATTTAAGTAAATATATATGTTATATTAAAATACTTTACAGTGGTACCTTGGTTTACAACCATGATCCGTTCTGGAAGTCTGGTTGTAAACCAAAACAGGTTGTAACCCAAGGTGCGCTTTCGCCAATGGGGCCTCCCCCCAAAAATGTGTTGTAATCCAAAAAAAAGGGACACACACTTCCAGGTTTGATGTGGTTGTAATCCAAAATGGTTGCAAACCAAGGTACCACTGTATATTAAAATAGAAGTTGGAATCCAGATCATAGTCTGGGAGTACTCCTACATTCCAATTTATCACTAGCAGTGGTTCCCAACCTTTTTTTGGGCCATGCTCCACCTAAGCATCTCTAAAATCCTGATTCCCTCCCCCCCCATTGATATATAATTCTTATTATTCAAAAAGTGAACTCCTATTCACATGGAGGAAGTCTAAAAGGCCATTGACTTGGTTTGACTCATTCTCAGATTGCCCCCCTTAAAAATGAAATTGCTCCCCTCTTGGGCGTGTGCCCCACGTTGGGAACCACGGCACTAGAGTCTCAAGTCTCTGTAGCCAGGGGTGCTTATGCCTGGTTCTCTAGCTATGACCATTATTGAGCCATGATAGCATAGCCTCAGTTGTCCATGCTTTAATGACTTCCTATGTAAGTTATTTAAAATGTACTCTGCATGGGGCTGCTCTTGAAGATGGTCCAGGGGCTACAGTTAGTGTAGAAAATAGCTGCTAAGTTGGTAAGTGCAGCAGTCTGATTGGACCATGTGTCCAAATGTGTTTTGGCTTTAACATCCCTTTGCACGGGGGTATGTATAATGTAAAAGCAGTGCTTTTACATGTTTCAGTATGTGTTTCAACAGCCGTCCTTTATTATAATATGATTATATATCTCCAAGTCTACAGCAGCATGCGTGAGCCCAGTTACAACACAATATCAAGCCTAGTTTTCCCCAAAAGCTCCTCTGGCATAAGTTACAATGCTTCCTATTAGGATTGCTCTGCCTATGCTCTGTAAAAGACCATTCCATTTCTATTAACAGAATGCTCTAATTAAACTAGCAGTACAAAAACAAAATGCTTCACTTGAGCCCAGGATAACCATTTTAAGTTTTCTAATTTCAGTGAGTTCAGCGTTAACATAAATAGCTATAGTTTTTCCCAAAATAGTTTTTCTGACTATAGTAGTTCCTAACTGAATGGATCTTGCCCTAATAGTTAAACTCAAAGTGTACTGAAAGTTGTGCAGAATTTCGAATGCGCTACAGCCCTAGCCCCACCAATTTCACATGGGTTCGCACCCCTTATTCTGCAAAGAGGCTTTCCATAGGTTACAAACTGCTGCCTGAACTTCCTTAAGGCAAATTATGTTAGGATTCAAATAAGAGTTTTTAGTGGCTACAAACTCACCAAGTCAGAACCACAAAGGCATACCATAATTAAGCTCCAATCAATTATAACCATTATAAGAATTTCTTTACTGCTTTCCCAAGATATCCGAATGTTTCAATTTCATTTCATTTTACAGTGCAGTCCAAACCCAAGCTTTAACCGAAATGATGTAATTTGGATTTGGTAGATCTCGGGCATTCCCATCTGAGCTGGGGCTATGCCAGCATATGTTCTTTACCCCACCTGAGCTAGAAGTATACTGGCATAAGTCCCTCAACCTCAGCTCCAAAAGGCAGATTTCCGTGAACCATGAAGCTGCCCACAGAAAACTACACTAGCAATTCCTAAATTTTCATTATATAAATAACTCACCATTTTCTTTCTAGACAATGCAATCACCAGATGCAGCTTCTTCATTTGCTGCTTCCAAGTGATGTCTATCTGTCTAGCTATCTGGGATGTTTTGAAGTTCTTCAGCTCTTCTTTGTTTTGAGACTCATGAAGATCTTTTTAAATGGATGATACAAATTTGTCACCCTGAGGCAGAGTTTTGTTAATCAGTTTATGTGAACCTTGAGCCTTGGTCCCAAGAGCCCCAAATAATTCCCCCAGATAAGCACACAGATAAAAGTTAACTTACTTGCACTGTGCACTATTTCAAAGTTATCTACTCCTCACAATGTCTCTTACTGTACTACAATAAAGATGTAAAGGCTCATTGGTAACTAGCGTAAGGATGGCCCTCTATTTGAATAGTTGTCAGAGGGCAGTGCTTTTATGTTCTCTATTTGATATATACTTACAATTACTGGGTGCCAAGATCCAGGTTTGGGGCAAGTATACACTTCGGTGAAAGAACCTCGGCAGAGATTTAAAGTCACAAAATATGCAGGAAAGTAAAATATAGAAATAAAGGCTGCTTGACCTTTAAAATATGCCCTTCAAAGTGAGTTCCAAAGTTTCATTTTCTCTCAGCATAGGAAAATACCACATTTTTGTAAGTTAAAAATTGGTTTCCATGTAAACTCTTCAAAGGTCAGGTTCACATGTTTTTCCATACATCAGTCAAAAAAGTTGCACACGCAGTAAAATCAGGGTTAGTTGCAAAGTGGTGAAAGTTATTGGTACAGAAACTCAATAGTCAATAGAGGCTTGTTAGAGCCATGTGACTAAGCCATGTGATGCACCCATCACCCTATTTGCCTCTCTTCCTACACTGAGGGAAAGTTCCGTGCCTATAATGTAATGTATAGTTTCAGTTGTAGATAAATATAAAACGTTATTAAACCCATTTAGAGAATAGGTTGTCAATGGTAGAAATCCAAATGAATTTCCCCCCAAATTGTCTATGGGGGGTATTACTTGAAATACTTAGGTAGGCAATAAATGAAACACCAATTTAATAATTAAAGGCATTTATTTTCTAAACAAGAACAAAACGAAGCAAAGTATATAAATTCAGATAGCTTTGAGTTACTGGGAAATTTCCTCCAGAGCAGCAGCACATCATTTTACTCCTTCGGTCAAAGGCTGGCATTGGTATCTCTTTAAGCAGGGGCACTACTGGTCCTAATATACTATCTGAGTGTGCAAATACAGAAGACAGCCACATTCTTGTGGTCAACCAGGGAAAGGACCAATGACTTACATCAAAAGGTTGGCAAGCTGCCATCTCCACTGTCAGTCTAATATGCACTTATCCCTATCATGTCCATGATCTTGCTAACCCATAAATCAATGACAAATCTTGGCAATCAGCCCAGATTGACCCCATGTACTGATAAGATACACCACCACAATCATGCCAGTTATCTCTATAGTCCAAAAATAAGCTCGCATTCCATTATATGACGTCTACCACATATAGTTAATTTCTCAAAACATGCAGCTTAAAATGTCAAAAAATTGCAGTGGCTGTCCATTAGCTAAGCAGGTTCAAGTTTTATACATGTCCTACATAAGACCCCAGAGGTGTAATATGTTCAAATACCACTTTTTCCACGTGATCACAACATGCCTTGAATATTTTACAATACACCTACATCACCCTTTTGTTTTGATGATCAATGGGGCAGTGAGAACTGTCATGAGTTACTTGGACTTGCCTGTGTACTAAGAATGCCAGAGGAAGCTGTTCTTCATATTTCATCTTTAGAGGGGGAAAAACATGTATTATTATGATTATTATGATGATGATTATTATTATTATGAAAGAATTTCAATTATAAAGAAATAAAGTGATACAGAGAAAAAAGGGGGAAGTGATGGGGAGAAGAACAAAGATATGTATAAGAAAAATACACAGAGGTACCTTGGTTTAAGAACAATTTAGTTTATGAACAACTTGGATTAAGAATGCGGCAAACCCGGAAGTACATAGGTGTTTTGGTTTCTGAACTTTGCCTTGGAAGCAGAACATGTTCCGCTTCCTGTTGAGTGTGTTCCATTTGTAAATCGAGTCCCCCGCTGATATGGGAAAGCACACCTTGGTTTAAGAACACTTTGGTTTAAGAACTTCTGGGACAGATTAAATTCATAAACCAAGATACCACTGCATATAGAAAAATGCAATGTACTTTACTCCCATACATTCTTATATAAATAACCTCCTACATTCTGTATAAATTCATTCCAAATATTGTCATATTTATCCAAACAAAGTCTAAGTCTGTAAACAGTCCGTTCACAAGTTGTGAATGTTGTTATATTGTTGATCCATTGATTAAAGGGTATCATATATTTATTCTTCCAATTCATGTATGATGTATGATTTCTGTGATGGTGACCCAAGTATGGAATCACTTCCAAAAATGGGTACTCTTAGCACCAACATACCATTCTTTTTTTTTTTTACAGAAGGTTAAAGCTTTATTGTTTTCCCAGGCATTTTTATTTTTGATTATGATATTTCTAACCAGGTTGAATGTCTTTATTCCTCTTCATTTCATTGTATTTTTGATCTGTTATTTCTCAATGTATTTGTCATTTTACATTTATCTCAATACCCTCCTAAATTACTGATTTATTTTTAATGGAAGGGATGGATAAAATATAATTGCATTTAAAAAACAAACAACCCACAAAACATGGTGCACCATTGCTTAGATAAAGGCTAAGACCTGTGGCTACACACACAGTTAAAGAAGAAAACTGGATGATGTGTTTTGGCTAAAACCTAATAGCTTTGACAAGGCAGCCTTGATCTCCTTGTTTCTCATACTATAAATCACTGGATTCAACATGGGTGGCACCATAGAATATACCACAGTAAATACCAGATCCTGATCAGAAGGGGTGTTAGATGTAGGCCTCAGGTAGGCAAAGAATCCAGTAAATAATAATGTGGAGATAACAATGAGGTGAGGAATGCAAGTTGAGTAAGCCTTTTGTCTTCCCTGTGCAGAGGGAATTCTCAACACTGCATAGAAAATCTGCACATAAGTTACAATGATGAAGGTAAAACAGCTTAGCCCTATGATAATGCTCAACATAACAGCTCCAATTTCAATTAGGTATAAATCTGAGCATGCAAGCTTCAGTAATTGTGGAATTTCACAGAAGAACTGATTGACAACATTGGAGCAAAATGGGGTTGCAAAGGTGCAGCTGGTGTGTAGTACTGCATGGAGAAGACCACTAGTCCATACACATGCCAGCATTTGTATGCAGGCTTGCTTGTTCATCACCATCTCATAGTGCAATGGATTGCAGATGGCAACATACCGATCATAAGCCATGAGTGTAAGAAGGGAGAAATCAGATGATAAAAAAAAGAAAAAGAAGAGTACTTGAGCAACACATCCAGAATAAGAAATGTGTCTAGTATTTAAGATAGAATTGGCTATGGATTTGGGGATAATAACTGAAATAGAACCAATGTCCTGCATGGCCAAGTTCATCAGAAAGAAGTACATGGGAGTGTGAAGGCAATGGTCAATAGCTATTGTGCAAATGATGAGAAGATTCCCTGATATAATTGCCATGTACAACACCAAGAAACCAATAAAGTGTAGAATCTGCAGTTCCCGAATCTCAGAAAATTCCAGGAGAAGAAATTCAGTCACTGAGGTGGTGTTCCATTGTTTGCCCGCAACAGTCTGTTGCATAATTTCTGCAGAAGAAAACACAGTGGAAATTACAACACTTATGATCTATTCTGCTAACAATGTCAGTTTCAGTTTCAATAATTCAAATTATGATGATTTTGCTTCCAGCCTTCTCACTCTGTTTTGTTTTGTGCTTCAGGTCGGAAGAAGAAGAAGAAGAAGAGGAGGAAGAAGAAGAAGAAGAAGAAGAAGAAGAAGAAGAAGAAGAAGAAGAAGAAGAAGAAGAAGAAGAATGTCAGATTAGCCTTAACCAGGGCCAGGGCCTTTTCAACACTGAACCAGGGCCTGGTTGAATGCTCTGTCTCATGAGACCAGGGCCCTGTGGGATCTGATTTCTTTCCGCAGGACCTGTAAGACAGAGTTGTTCTGCCTGGCCTTTGGCTTGGAACCAGCCTGATTCCCCCCCCTTCATTTTCCTTCTGTGATAGAACCCCTATTTGGGGACTTCCCTGGCTTTTCTGGCCCACATAGAACCAGTCTGGATAGTTGGCCTTCATGAAGATTTGACATTTTCTCCCCCCAAACAGTTTTTGATCTGGGCTTCCACTGAAATGAGGCTGCATTTTAAGTAGTATTTTAATCTTGTTTTTAAGTTGTATTTTAATCAATTGTTTTTATACCTGATGTTAGCTGCCCTGAGCCCAGTCTTGCCGGGGAGGGCAGGGTATAAATAAAATTAAAGAAAGACAGAAAGACAAAAAGAAATGAAGAAGAAGAAGAAGAAGAAGAAGAAGAAGAAGAAGAAGAAGAAGGAGAAGAAGAAGAAGAAGAAGAAGAAGAAGAAGAAGAAGAAGAAGATGTTGTTGAGCTACCAAGGTCAAGACTGGTGTCTCATTTTATAAACACTCATACTACAGCTGCAGCAGCTACTGCCTCTAATACTTCAAACAGTAGATTATTAGGAGCACCATATGCAAAGGACTTTCTTTCTTTTATCTAGACTTTATTCATTTATTCAAACACGTGTAGTAGAAATATGATTTATTTAGACACTGGAAAAGGGAAGCATTAAAGAGAAGAACAGATCAAAAAACCAATAAATTATTACAGTACATAAATTGGATTCTCCTAAATTAAGGGTTCGCGTTGTGCGCGGGCCTCGGGACACTCCCTTTCACCTGTTTTTGCCTACCTCTTAACAATTGTCACAACTTTGTAAGGTTTGGCGGTTAGGCATTGGCTTAGTGAGATGCAGGGGAGGTGCAGCCATCACCTGCCCCTCCAGGTACAAGGGTATTCTGTTAGAAGAATTCACGGGTCTGGATCTCATCCAAAGTCCGCTTGAGGGGCTAAGGCCATGCAAGGACCACAGGAACCCCGGCATGAGCTTCAGTTGGTTGCCATCAATAGAGCTCCCTCTTTTGGTGGTTTACCCTTCCAGACTCCCTGCAAGGCGGGCAGGAGTCAGATATAGTGTTGCCAATGCCTAAGCCAATACCACTCACATTCTGCATTCAATAAAGTTGTGGCCTAAATTTGCCCATTAACATTTAAACTAAAATATTTGTGTCAATGTGTCTTTATTTTTTTTGGGGGGGGCTATTCCGGGGCCTTGATGCGCAAACAGTAAATGCATCAGGGAAAGAAAATTGAATCAAATTGTTCATCCTTAGTTTTATAATAAGAATATGTATCATCATATGTCCAGTCTATGTAAGGAGAGCTGGACAACAATTATTCATCTAGCAATAGCTTTGGGCAAGAAAGTTCTAAGGTTTTTCATCCAAAAGTGATTCCATTCACTTCAGTGGAGGGAACTAATCAACTTATCCAAGTGATAAAAATACACATTGTTATCATTCTCAGAATATGCTTGTTGGGGGAAATCCACTGAATCAAAATGAATAGAGTATATGTATACTGTAAAGCGGTTCGAATCCCCACGGCGGGGTGCGCTCCCGTTGCTTGGTCCCAGCGCCTGCCAACCTAGCAGTTCGAAAGCACCCCCGGGTGCAAGTAGATAAATAGGGACCGCTTACTAGCGGGAAGGTAAACGGCGTTTCTGTGTGCTGCGCTGGCTCACCAGATGCAGCTTGTCACGCTGGCCACGTGACCCGGAAGTGTCTTCGGACAGCGCTGGCCCCCGGCTTCTTAAGTGAGATGGGCGCACAACCCCAGAGTCAGACACGACTGGCCCGTATGGGCAGGGGTACCTTTACCTTTATACTGTAAAGCACTGATGGGCGCAAAACAACAGAAATAGTAATAAAATTGATTGTGGAATGCCTTCCCTTCTCATGTTGGGCTTTAGACTGCAGTCAAAAATGTGTTTTTGTGCCTAGACTTATGATAATCCTGTGATTGGATCCATTTGTTTTGTTGTTGATAATGTTTTAATATATTACTTGTTTTATATTGTCTGTTATTATGTTTATTATATTGTACCCAACTATAGATTTATTCTTATTGAAGTGTGCATTATGAAATATTTAAATAAAATAAAGCTGGTTTAATTTGCACCCATTGTGCCCATCATACACTATCACTAACCTTAGTGTCATTACAGTAAAGTAAAACTCAAGAACTTGGAAAACTTGAAACTTGAAACATTGATAGATAACTTCTTTTCCCTTTCTGACAGGTGTTTCCAGTTGAACTGGGAAAGAAAACAGCAAGCAGCCTTAACTGAAACATTTCTGCAACATAGATCTCTTTATTCTAAGTCTTCTGAAAATATCCCAGCATCTAGACAGACAGCTGAGATACACTGAAAAGCTAAGATGCATTCCCGTCTACAGCAGTAACATTAGTGACACAAAGAGGGATGAAACAAAAAAGCACTTGGGAAAGAAAAAAGAGAAGATATTTAAAGGAGGTGATTGGTGTGCAGAAAGGTTGTACTGTTTCACATGACATATCAACATGTTCAAAGAGCTCTTCATCCAGGAAGCAACCCCTATATGCACAACATTCACATAGCAGCAATAACGTATCACCTTGAAAGAAGTTGTGCTAGTATACAAAGTACTGGGAAGGAGCTGTCACTTAGTAGGAGAACAAAGGGATATCAGTTCAGACCATTGGTGCATCTAGCTCAATGCCATCCACATTGATGGGCAGTGTCTCTGCAGGATTTCAGATAGAACTCCTTGTTAACATTTAACCAGGAATCTTCTGCATGATCTTCAATCCCAGAGATCTCTATTTAAATGTTCAAGTAACGGATGATGGTTAAGGTGTCTGCTGAAAGCCAAGACCCTAAGAAGATGCTGATACTCAGAGTAGACAAAATTGGACTGGATGGAATGACTTAAAGTAAGGCAGCTTCATTTGTCCACTGCACACACAAAAACCAACACTGATTAGAGAACCATTTAGATGTGAGGCTGGCCCACATGGAACACATTAACAACCTTCTAAAGCCTTTGCATGCTTAGGATTGTGTTTAAATTGGCTCTTCTGCAGAGAAGAAGAAGAAGAAGAAGAAGAAGAAGAAGAAGAAGAAGAAGAAGAAGAAGAAATAATACACTAGGGGTTTGGGGAGGAGGAATACACATCCTACATAATGCTAGCAGCATGAACAACACTCACTGTGTACATCATTAATAATACATGGTAATACCCACACAGAAGCATCAAATATGGTGCTCATTTTTAGACCGTCTGCATAGTTGGAGTGATCCATGTTATAAGTAACTTGCAGGCATTGTGACAAATGTTCAAAGCCTCCCTGTCGCAAGAAAACCTCTATCTCTAGAGTTAGATCTATAAATAACTTACAATTCTTTTTCTTTGCGGATTTCTTCTAGCACGAGATGCAGAATCTTCTCTCAGATTTTAGAGCACTGTGCCACTAACCAGGCATGACAACAAACAATTCTTTCTATGGTGGCAGTAACTAATTTATACATGTTTTGTATTGCTGGAGACATATTCTCAAGAGTTCAGTTGAACAGCTCTAGAGACATGTAGTGGAAAAAATAATTTTGTGGTCTGTGGTTCTGCCTATATGATTTGCAGAGATTGGCTCTATGTAGGGGCATTAGAATGACAGAACTTGTGACTGGTTGTCCCCCCACATATATTATGACAATTTTACATGTTCTAATATGAAATGTAGGAACATGTTCGATGATATGATGCATAGAAGTCTGAGTATTGCAGTGTTTCTCCCTTGAAACACTGAGCGTTTGTAGCTCAGTACGCAGTAGCATCTTTCTAGAGGTGATGTTGCTCTTAGTGGAATGGGGTAATGTGGTACCAGTGAGAATGGGGAAGCTTGGACTAAGCACTAACACTGTATCCATTTTTTTTTTTTTTGGAGCAAGGTTAACCCATTTTTAGATTGGGGTATTTTTAAACAGGTTGAATGGTTTTGTTCCTCTTAATTTTTATTTTATTGTTGGTTTGTTGTTTCATAACAACAGGAATATTGTCCGGAAGTCCATTTTGAATAAATAAAAAAAGGGGGGACGATAAAAATGTAATAAATTTATTAGAAATCATTGTGCATCACTGTTGAGATGAAGACTTAAACACATACAGTTAAAAAAGACTTGATGATGTACTTTGAGTAAAACCTAATAACTTTGACATGACAGCCTTGATCTCTTTGTTTCTCATACTGTAAATCACTGGATTCAGCATGGGTGGAACCATTGAATATACCATAGTAAATACCAAATTCAGAACAGAGGTAGACCGCAGGTAGGCAAAGAATCCAGTAAAGAATAACGTGAAGATGACAGTGAGATGGGGAATGCAAGTTGAGTAAGCCTTTTGCCTTCCTTGCACAGAGGGAATTCTCAACACTGCATAGAAAATCTGCACATAAGTTACAACGATGAAGGTAAAACAGCCTAGCCCGATGATAAAGCTCAGCATAACAGCTCCAATTTCAATAAGGTATAAATCTGAGCATGCAAGCTTCAGTAACTGTGGAATTTCACAGAAGAACTGATTGACAACATTGGAGCAAAATGGGGTTGCAAAGGTGCTGCTGGTGTGTAGCACTGCATGGAGAAAACCACTGATCCACACACAGGCCACCGCTTGTATGTAGGCTTGCTTATTCATCACCATCTCATAGTACAATGGATTGCAGATGGCAACATACCGATCATAAGCCATGAGTGTGAGAAGGAAGAAGTTGGATGATATAAAGAAGTTGAACAAAAGGATCTGAGCTACACATCCAGAATAAGAAATTTGCCTAGTATTTAAGAGGGAATTGGCCATGGATTTGGGAACAATAACTGAAACTTGTCCAAGGTCCTGAATAGCCAAGTTCATCAAAAAGAAATACATTGGTCTGTGCAAGTGGTGATCAGAAGCTACTGCAGAAATTATGAGAAGGTTCCCCATTAAGCTTGCCAAGTACAATACTAGAAATATAATGAAGTGCAGAATCTGCAGTTCCCAAGCCTCTGAAAATTCGAGGAGCACAAAGTCAGTCACTGTGGTGGTATTGAACATTTTTGCACTTTTTAGAAGGCCTGTAAAAGAAAGGAGGAAAATTAAAACTAAATAATTATGGCCAAGGTCCTTAAAAAACCCCCAAACATGTTCTTGTATTCACTGAAATCTCCTTGTTCACAGAATTTCACACACATGGGAACAGTAAAGCAATAATTGTCGCCCTAGAAGACTAATACATTAGATTTGGCTGAATCCTGACCCAAATCAAGAAATTTTGATCCAGTTTGATCTTTGATCCAGTTAGGCAGATTTGTTGGGCTTACAGATTGAACAGCAGCTGCTGGGTTAGTGATGGAGGGTGCAATTCCGCTGATTGCAGGGTGCTGCTTTGTTAGCCCGTTCTCCACAAGAAATCCTCCACTCTGATGAGTATGTTTCACTCATGAGTGTGTTTATTAAAAAAATAAAAAAGGAGAAAGAGGCTGCATAGAGGCATGGCCAAGGCCATGACATGGGAACTGACATGTATGTGCACACACAAGAGAAAGTCCTGCTCACCTCAGCTGGCCAAAAGCATTGTCCCAGATGCAAGAACATGCAGCTGACAGGACAGGGTTTCCCCAAAAAGAGAAAAATGCTTGATAGAATTGCCATGTACAAATATGCAGATATGAAGAATATGCAGATCCTGAACCTGTGAGAAATTGAGGAGCAGAAGCTGCCCAGGCCCAAGCTTCCCAGGGCAAGTCCAAGCCCAAGCTGCTCCCAAGCAAAAAAAAACCCCCAGACATTTCCATTAAAATGTAAAAATCCACCTGGGTGGCATGTTGCTCCCCAAAATGATGACATGTCCAGGTTTTTCTGGACATATGGGAATACTACATCATTATCAATTCAGGGAAAGTATCCACACTAGAGGTAATCTGTAATGAAGGTGCAGAATATGAATTTCCATACATATGAAATTCCTATTCACATGCTTTCTCATTATTCACATGCTTTCTCATCATGGTGCTGACTGAGATTATCTGCACAGTAGACCTGATCTGTGTTACTAGCTTGCATGCATTACTCTGCCTAAAGTGTCCCTGCCACAAGGAAACCACTCTCTCGAAAGTTATATCTATAAATAACTTACAAGTTTTCTTCTTCATGGATTTCTTTCAGCTCCAGAAGCAGTATCGTCTCTACCATTTTAGAGTACTGTGTCCCTTACCATTCATGGCAATGAACAATTCTTTCTATGGCGACAGTAGATGTCACCATAGGACAGTGGCTAATTTATATACATGGTTTGTGTTCCCAGAGACTTATTCTCAAGAGTTCAGTGCAGCAGTGGAAACGCACTGAGGCATACACTAGGAAAAAAATAACTTTGTGGTCTGTAGTTCTGCTGATATAATTAGCACAGGTTGACTCCATGTAGGGGTATTAAAATGACAGAGAACTCATGAGACTCAAGTTCTTCTTGGCATGCATATACACACAACATTTTCCAATTTTTAGTATGAGATGTAGGGGCATGTTCTATGACTTGATGTGCAGAGGTCTGAGTACTGTCATGCTTCCCCTTGAAATAATGAGAAAGCATGTGAATAGGAATTTCATATGTATGGAAGTTCATATTCTGCACCTTCATTACAGATTACGTTACAATTATGGTGCAGTGGGCTATGCTTCTACTATCATAATGGGACTTTCACTCTGAGTAAATATCTGAACTTGGCCAAGAAGGTCAAACATTTAGCTGTTAAACAACAATAATATGCTTCAGGATTCAGGTGATAACAAAGATAAATTTGGGAATGTGGGTAGACCTGCCTTATGCTGACTCAAACCACAATATTCTTGTTGGCAACAGCTATCCAGGATTTCAGGTAAGGGTCTTTCCCAGCTGTACCTGGGCATGTGGATTGAACCCTGACTTGCAGAGTAAATGCCCTGCCATTGAACTATAGACCTTTAAATTTCTGACCTTTCACCAGTAGCCCTCATTCTTGGTCCCTCATATAACCTTATTGATTTGCATTAAGTGGAAATGATTTGAACTTTGATGTTCTATTTGTAACAGAACAAACCAATGCCAGAACTTTAGAACTTTCCCCATGTAGACGTTTTAATGGCTGCACTCCAGTTACACAGAAGTAATAATAATAATAATAATTTATTTATACCCCGTCCATCTGGGTGGATTTCCCCAGCCACTATAGGCTGCTTCCAACAAAATATTAAAATACAATAGTCTGTCAAACATGAAAAGCTTCCCTAATCAGGGCTACCTTCAAATGTCTTCTAAAAGTCTGGTAGTTGTTTTTCTCTTTGACATCTGGTGGAAGGGCGTTGCACAGGGCGGGTGCTACTACCGAGAAGGCCCTCTGCCTGGTTCCCTGTAACTTCTATAGCCATAGCTTCTTTACACACCCTTGTCATACAGACAGACAAAAGTCATTATCACAGTTCAGTGACACATTTCCAGCTTGGCAAAAATACCAAAGGAGGGCTCAGAACAAAGTGAGTGAAGAATGTGTCCGGGAGTGGGGTCATTGATCTGATTTCTTTCCACAGGGCCTGTAAGACAGAGTTGTTCCACCTGGCCTTTGGCTTAGAATCAGTTTGATTCCCTCCCCCTCTTTCTTTTTCCTTTCTCCTCCTATGAAGAGATTGCACCCTAATGTTTTAATGTTGTATCTTAATCTTTTAAATTGTATTTTAATCAACTTGTTTTTATTATTGGTTGTTAGCCTCCCTGAGCCTGGTCTTGGCTGGGGAGGGCGGGGTATAAACAAAAATTTGTTGTTGTTTTTGTATGGAGCAAGGCCATTGTATGGAGCAAGTGTGTCTTTATAATTAGACATAGCCTAAGAAGAGTCCTGAGGGCTGAATAGAGAGGTTCCAAACTCTTGATGTAGAGATAGCCAATGTCAACATGTGCAGCATTCTTCTTTATCTACTGTACTGCTCCCTGTATAATTCTCTTAGGAATGTATTTCTGAGAGGAATTCTTTAAAGAGTTTCCTTCTTGAATTGTAGGGAGAGAATTTGTTATTTGCTCGACGTTGGGGATAAACACATTACAATCAAACCTTGGATCCCAAACGTCTCAGAAGCCGAACATTCCATCTCCTGAACAATCAAAAACCAGAAGTGAGTGTGCTGATTTTTGAACTTTTTTTGGAAGCCAAACATCTGGTGTGGCTTCCACTATTGTTTCCAGCGCACCTGTACAATCGGAAACCAGTCGGAAGCTACACCTTGGTTTCCAAACCTTTCAGAAGTAGAACAAACTTCTGGAACTGATTCCGTTCGATTTCCGAGGTACGACTGTACGTGTAAAGTTTCTATGTCTGTCTTAGCAGCCCAATGTATTATACAAAAGTTCCCATGTCCTGTCGACCAGATATGCTAAAATGTATCCTAATACTATTGGACGCGGGTGGCGCTGTGGTTTAAACCACTGTGCCACTTGGACTTGCTGATCGGAAGGTTGGCGGTTCGAGGCCCTGTGACGGGGTGAGCTCCCATTGTTCGGTCCCAGCTCCTGCCAACCTAGCAGTTCGAAAACATGCAGTGCAAGTAGATAAATAGGTACCGCTCCGTCAGGAAGGTAAACGGTGTTTCCATGCACTGCTCTGGCTTCGCTAGAAGCGGCTTAGTCATGCTGGCCACATGACCCAGAAAAACTCTCTGCAGAAGCGGACAAACACCGGCTCCCTCAGCCTGTAAAGTGAGATGAGCGCCGCAACCCCAGAGTCATTCGCAACTGGACTTAACTGTCAGGGGTCCCTTTATCTTACCTTTACCTTATCCTAATACTATTTGTAGTTCTACACTTTTGTGGTAACCAATGGTTCTTAGCAAATAAATTGGACTAAATGCATGAGCAGGGATAGATTTTGTTCCTTTCAGTGTCCTGACATTCTAAGATAAACAAACAGAGCCAGTTTGTCCTAATTACATTAGTAAAAAATACAGACCAGAGAGTCACTTAATGTCCCTGCTCCTGAGCTATGTTGGACTCCTGAGAGCAAATCTCTAGGAACACAAGATAGATAGTAATAAACCTCCTTAGCATGTTGTCAATTTCATATTGCCTTCATATATCAAAGTGATGGTGAACATTTGTATAGTTTCAATGGTGACTAGATAGCTCTAACAGTGCTGAAGGAGAAGTGCATCTGAAGTTGAAAGAAATATCTGAAGGAGGAGGAGGAGGGACTGTGATTCATTGATAGAGGACGTGCTTTGCAGGCAGAGCCCCAAACTCAGAACCTTGCAACCTCCTGGAAATGCTGGGGAAGACACGTCTGTGAAATCTCAGAGAGCAGATGCCAACTAGTACAGACAATACTCGGGTGGATGTATTTGTGGTCCGACTCTTTATAAGGCAGGTTTCTTTTTAAAAAGGTAGGAATATATTCCATTAATAGTTTATGAATAGCTCACCTAATAAAAATAAGGTATACTGTATACTCCTCCCCTCCAGAAAGAAACACCTTGTTTTTTTCCCAATTAATACAATATCTTCCCCCTCATCACTCTGTATGTCCATGGCTTACAGGCATATATCAGAGTACTTATATGAGTTGTATGCCTGAACACGGGAATATTCTTATACCAACATGTGAATCTTGGCATTCATTCAAGGTAATCTGTAATGTAACCGCAGCAATTTGGAATAAGCTGGCTTTAAATTTACTTTCCTTTCTTTTTGTTAAATTCCATTTTCTTAAATATAAAAAGATTACAAAATACCAATTAATATTTCAACACTTAAAAGAAGACAAGCAAAGAGAAGGAAGGAAGCATACGTAGATCTGGAAAAAGAAAAGTTAAGTAAATGAGTAAATAATGAATTGTTTAAACTATTCATAAATAAATAACCAAGTGAGAAGACAAATCCTTACAAATTTAATAAATGTTAAAAAAGAAAGACACAACGGTTTTATAAATCATGCAGAATTCAGATCCACCTTAATTGAGGAAGACCATAACCATACCTTGCATTACATTCATTAAACTGGTGGTGAGGAACTGGTGGCCCTGCAGCTGTTGCTGGTCTCCACCTTTGGTCAGCTCCATTCCTTAAGTCAGGGATGGAGGGAGTTGTTGTCCAGCAACATCTAGAGGACAACCTGACTCTCTCTCTCTTTTCTCATAAAAGGCAGAAGGGGGTGGGGAGAAGTATTGTAGCCTATCATCCTTCACTAACTATTCCAAAATTTCTTGAACAATGCATATTTGTTTTTTCTCTCCCTTTTCTTACCCATAAGGTCCAGGTCTGTTTGCTTAAAGTTGCAAATTCCTATAATTTGATGTACAGTACCATCCTCTTAAGTGAGGCAATTCTCCCCCTCCACTGCCAATATTTTGCAATGAGTAGCAAAGCGGTTAATATCATAGAGAACACAGAAACTCACTCTCTTTAGGAACCATGCCTTTCAAACACAACTAAAGTTGGAGCCTTCAAAAAGCTTTATTAAAGACTTATGCAGTGGCAGACCTATATTTTTGGGGTCCTGCTACTACATCTCATATTTTGATTAAAACTGCTCTACTGGATTATCTCACGTGTCAAAGTCACTGGTGTAGATAAATATTTCCTATGCCTTATAGTTTACAAAGTTAACGGGGGGATGAAAAATAGAGAACTGTCATATACATGTGTGAATAAAGTCTCTTCTGGAGCCTCTCTGGGATTAGGGCCCTGAAGCTGAAGCTTCATGAGTTTCATAGTAGATTTACACCTGGACCTATGACTCCCCCATCATGGTATTTGCTGGAATCAAAAAGCTATAGCAAAACAGACCTGATAAACCCTTAACACATGGAATATGTTGCTACTGTGCCCACTCTGATAAGGATAGGAAGAGCTGCTTCCCTGTCAGGGTCTCAATTTCTTGGCATGGTCCACACACCTATTGCTATTACAGCCTCCTTGTTTCATGCAAAATATACTCCTGCTAAAGATGCAAGCAAGTGTGTATAAGGTAGTGGTTGAGCTAATGGGTATTTCTATTCAGAGCAAACCTAGAGCAAACCCTGCTATTCTATCATCTTCTGCCACACCTTCCTTCCTTCCTTCCTTCCTTCCTTCCTTCCTTCCTTCCTTCCTTCCTTCCTTCCTTCCTTCCTTTCTCCCTGCTTTCTTCTCCTTGCCAATGCTTGGCTGTCAGATTCAGAGCGTGACAAATGCCTCAAAATAACAGCCATAAATTAGAATGAATTCTGCAGACATAAAAACAATCACAGTAATAACAAATTGAAATTTCCCAATCCAAGCAAGTGAAGCCTGTCTTCTTACAGCACTGTGCTATTATTTTAACAGTTGACTGCTTCCTTCGACAGGCAGCCCACACTTTCATGAGGCAAAAACCATGGTGAACCAGTCCTTTGTATCAGAGTTCCTGCTCGAAGAGTTTTCAGAGGTTCGGGAAATGCAGATTTTTCACTTCCTTCTATTCCTGGTTTTGTACTTGGCTACAGTAACAGGGAACCTTCTCATCATCTCTGCAGTAGCTTTCGACCGCCGACTGCACACCCCCATGTACTTCTTTCTGATGAACTTGGCCATACAGGACCTTGGATCTGTTTCAGTCATTGTTCCCAATTCCATGGCTAATTCCCTCATGAATACCAGACACATTTCTTACTCTGGGTGTGTTGCTCAAGTTCTCTTATTTGTCTTCTTTTTAGCATCCAACTTCTCTCTCCTGACCGTCATGGCATATGATCGGTATGTTGCCATTTGCAACCCATTACAATATGAGAAGCTGATGAACAAGCAAGCCTGTGTCCACATGATTGCCTGTGTATGGATCACTGGTCTTCTCTGTGCTGTGTTACACACTGGAGGCACCTTTGCAACCCCCTTCTGTTCCAGTGTTGTCAAACAGTTTTTCTGTGAAATCCCACAGTTGCTAAAGCTCTCCTGCTCTGGTTTGAACCTAACAGAAATTGGAGTGATCGTGCTGAGTATTTTCATTGAATCAGGTTGCCTCTTCTTCATTGTTGTAACTTATGTCTATATTTTCAGCGCTGTGTTAAAAATGCCTTCTATTCAGGGAAGGCAAAAAGTCTTCTCAACTTGTCTTCCTCACCTCATTGTTATCTCCATGTTGTTATTAACTGGGTGGTTTGCTTACCTAAGTCCTATGTATAGTACCACATCACAGCAAGATTTGTCTTTTGCTGTGATATATTCTGTGGTTCCACCACTGCTGAACCCAGTGATCTACAGCATGCGAAACAAGGATATGAAAATTGCCTTGTCAAAATTATTTGGATTGATCAAAACTTCTAAGAAAGAAATATTCCATTTTCTTCAGTAGGTGTGGATTCCCTTTCCAGAGCTACCACTCCCAGAGTGGTTTAATTGATCCCTCATCACAGGAAACTCCAATATTGATTATATAAGTTGCAATAGACAAATTAGAAAATTTGCAGCTCCCGTTAGTATACTGGGTACAGGACAGGAGTCATTATATTATCTGCATGGAAGCTTCCCTCATCCTTGGCAGTAAATCTGTTTGTTTAAGATAGCAGAACCAGAACCACCTTCATACCCTCTAAACCCCTCATGAACTTGTTGTGAACAAAGTGTATTTAGGATATAGAAAAGGAGTTGATCTGAGCTCCAGACAAGTACTAACACTCCCAAATGTTACATTTGGACCATAAGCCTGAAGATTTATGTTGCCTTGGGGCAAACCTGGAGGCACGGAAATTTTGTCTCCCACTTTTTGATCAGAGCACCTTTGCAGAAGCAGCTGTATTCCTCTACCCACACCACTGGGCCCAGAAGGTGTAATTTCTGACACTTGTTATTTTTTGCAGCAGTACAGACATTTTATTTCTTACTTTAGCATTATGAGTGAGTTAGAATATTAATAATTATGCTGCCCTGCACAACATTAACATGGTATCCTTTTCCTTATGATTGCACTAAAAAAGAGCTTTGTTTTAGTCTTGTCTAGACCTTTATAATTGGGTTATACACAGAATGTCCCTATTTTCTGAGGAATGTTGGATGGTATGCTATTGACATTCAATGAATGTTATGTTATATGCTATGTTCACACTGGTTCAATAGAAGTAAAGTTTTCCAGTACCTACTAAAAGTGAACCAGAAAGTATATTCACGTAAATCTTGTAAACATGTTTTCCCCCCTCCCCCCAGAAGTAGAAACTATGGCCCCTGAAAGTTGATTCACTACTCTATAATTTTCAAAATAACGGTTATTAATCTTAATTTTAGAAGAATCAGCATACAATTTTTTTCCAGATTAGAAGCACATGTGATTAGATTCTGAACCTGGTTCTCTGCTGACGTCCCAGTGTGCCAATCAGAGTGGGATTAGGTCCACTGGGAGGCATGGCTATATCCTCTTCTTTCATCACTTTCAAGTAGAACATATTTCTCCACAGTTTCTGTGTTGATGTGATTCTTATGTGAATGTTTGGTTGTGTGCCAACTGCAGGGAACATTGTAGCAGGGAGTAGATCTGAGAATGTCAGTGTTTGGCTGTGGACTGGGGAGACTCAAGTGGCTCTTGGTGCTGCTTTTATTGCTGCTCCTACTCCCTTCTCTTGCATCCAAAGACATGAAAGGCAACTGTAGTTATGATAGAAGCATCCAAGATAAATTATACAATCCAGGAGAAGTTATAATAGGTGGAATCTTCTCTCTAATATATACTATTTCTGAATCATTCAGCTTGAAAATAAAACCAGAAAGGCATCGTACAACTTATAAGTAAGTTTTTTTTAACTAAAAAGTAGTAGCAGAAAATGTATTCACCATATAATGATTAGGGACATAATCTGCTGCATAAGACCAGAGCAGAGTATAGGAAGCTACTAATACCGAGTCAAAGCATTGGTCTATCTAGCTCAGTTCTATCTCTGCTCCTTGGTAGTAGTTGCCCTGTGTCTCAGGAATGAGTCCTTCCCAGACCTTCATGGAGATATCGAGGATTGCATTGAAGACTTTGTGCATGCAAAGTATATGTTCTTCTATCATACTCTTGTATGAGACAACATTCCAAAAAGTAGTCCCCTCCCATCTTAGCCTGCTTCTACAGAAATGGGGGAGTTGAATTTCTATTTGTAGAGGATTTTTCAGGCAGCAGGGGACTTGACTGATGAATTATTATTTTTTACAGTTCAAGGATCCCCGTCGAGCATTCATCAACATTAGCATTCTTGCTTTCTTGTGTTAGTTATTTAAGCACAAGTGACACAAACTAGCTAATAGATCAGTTATTGGTGGAATGATATATCTTCTATTTCCCTTCAACCAGTTGCCCAGCTTCTCTGTTAACTGTACAGATGCCTTCAGATAAAACATACTACTCAGTTTTCTACTACTCAAATGGGCAACCCTACAACCTCATATATAATTCTTTTGTCATTTGAGTGGGGATCAGGTGTTCAGCAACCTTTCAGGGTGTAAGATTAGTGCAAATAATCTCTGGTAGAAGGCCTTATGACTCACTGTCAATCTCATTGCAGTCCAGTGCTTAAAAATTATCAGCCAGTCCTCTCGCTGATTTTTGCCATTCGTGAGATCAATAAGAACCCCAAACTTTTGTCTAATGTCTCTCTGGGTTTCAACATCTATGACAACCTGTTTGATGCACGCAGCACATATGAGAGCTTGCTGGACCTACTGTTCACACAACAAATGAATGGAATTAATAATAATAATATGAATGAGGATGTGTTGTCTGTCATTGGAGGTCTCACTGTAGAAGATGCCAACCAACTGGCCACCATCTTGGATCAATACAAGATTCCTCAGGTATGTATGTGATCATATACAAACTGGAGGCAAGGATCAATAGATCTCTTATCTGTCACTTAGCACTCTCATTGTAGAAGATGTAAAGCAGATTTCACCATTTTGAATCTGTAGAAGATCCCACAGGTATTTGTAAGCATATATTTTCGGTGATTTGTAATTAACCCCCCCCATACATACACCATGGAGGTTCTGAATTTATTTTCTTTTACTGAATCAATCAGGTTTGGTTATGAACATTACAGCTAATCTGCCACACTCTCATTTAAACAATATGTATTGTAAAAGTTGTACTATTAGATGAATTATTTTAATCATGTTGAAGGGAAGAATAGGGCCATGCTGTAGTTTGGCCCAACCCACTGCTATTTATGTACTGGATGGAAGCAACTGGAACATCCAAGTTTCCAAATCCTGGGAGATCCTTCCTGTGTAAAATATGTCTCACATTACTGATGGTACCCCTGAATCATGGTAAGCAATGGGTGCGTGATGGTGCAGATATGACCAGTGGAAATAGTTCTGTGTTCACTGAGTCTGACTTCAGTGACACATGCATAAGTTTACAGACTAAAATGTTTAGTTGGGAATCATATACTTTGGGGAAATACTAGATTTTGTTATTTTTCCGAGATCTAAGCAGCCATGTTTTCCCCATCAGCTCACTTATGGTGCGTATGACACAACACTCAAGGGTAAAACTAATTTCCCTTCCCTCTACCGGATGACTCCAAGTGAAACCATTCAGCCCAATGCAATTGTCCAGCTGCTCCTACATTTCAAATGGACATGGGTTGGCCTCTTTGTTTCAGATGATGACGACGGAGAAACATTTTTGCAGATTTTAACACCTCTACTTGCCCACAATGGCATTTGTGTTGCCTTCTCACACAGGGTAGAAAACCTAAAACGTGATTCAGAAAAAGACGTGTCAAAAATAGGGTTGCTACTTTTAAGAGATGTCAATGTGCTTGTTGTCAGTGGAAATTCCCGCTCTCTTTGGAATTTAATAACCAAAATAGAGCATGCTGAGTTCTTCAAGACTGACAACTTTGCAAAAGTTTGGATTATAACTGCTCGGTGGGATTTCACCCAACAACGTTTCTTCAGATTTCCTACAGCTACTTTCAGTGGCACCTTGTATTTCTCAGCCCACAGAGATCCAGTGCCAGAATTCCATGATTTTCTCAAGAACATAAAGCCTGATCCATCACTGATGCACTTCCTTTGTATATTCTGGCGATTTCTATTTACCTGTACTTTTCCCAATGAAAACTTTGCACATTGTGAATATGGGAAAAGGTGTACAGGAAAGGAGGAACTGGAAACAGCATCTGTGATTATGTTTGAGATAGATATGACTGGGGAGAGCTATAGTGTCTACAATGCTGTCTACGCTATAGCACATGCTTTACATTCCATTCATGGGTCAAGACAAAGAACAAGGCTGCAAGGAGGCACAACAAATGTTCAGCCATGGCAGGTAAGCTCTATTATTCTAATGAATTTCTTGTCAAAGATGAAATCTGACTTTTAGAAGACATCTGAAGGCTACCCTGTTTAGGAAAGTTTTTAATGTTTGGTGTTTTATCGTGTTTTTAATATTCTGTTGGGAGCTGCCCAGAGTGGCTGGGGAAACCCAGCCAGATGGGCGGGGTATAAAAATAAATTAATAGTAGTAGTAGGAAGAAGAAGAAGTCTGATGACTAATGTTATATCAGGAGTTGACCCATTGAAATTAAGGGACATTACTATCTTAGGACCATTAATTTCCATGAAACTACTTTGACTACAATTTAGTTGGATATGACACTAAAACTTTATATATTATTACAGGCAAGAAACATCTGGAAAGCTTTGGGTGGAGGACTAAATAAAAAGAGTGCACAATGGTGCTCAGTGTATGATGGTAAACCCATAGAAACATGAGCATCTATGCCCTGTTTCTCTATTATTGTCTGCAAGTCACATTTGGCACCATTCTGAGTGATTACACAATCCTCAGGAGTGTCTTTTAATGGAACACATGGAACTGTCTTAGCAAGGGAGAGGCAGAAAGTACTATTGAATAAATGGACTCCTGCTGTCCAGATCCAACTCCTTCTTGTACTCCATAGCCTCACATTGGGCAAATGGTTCTGGCATTGCAAGGGTTTGAACTAGATGACCCTCATGGTCTGGTCAAATTTTACAATCCTATGATTCTATGATCTTAAGCTGACTAAGAATTCATACTTTTGAAAGGAAGTCAGCTGAAAAGAAGCTGTGGAGAACTCCTTGCATCCCAGATTTATAATATTCATGTCTAATTGCAAAATGTTATACAACAGAGTAGTAGATTAAACCAGTTTAGGATAACAGATTAATTGTATCCTCTGCCAATTTAGCTCCATGCTGCCCTGAAAAGCATCTGCTTCAATAATGGTGCTGGACATGAAATCTTGATTGAAAATGGAGAGGTTTCATCTGGTTACTATGATATCTTCAACTGGTTTGTTTTCCCCAATCACTCTGCTCTGAGAGTTCAGGTGGGGGGAAATCAGCAAGTCAAAAACTCAAAATTATGGAGGATGCCATTTTGTGGAACAAACGATTCCAACAGGTAGGAATACAGATACCAGCAGGTATACACATCTGTATGCAAATGAGTTGTCTGAGGCCCAACAGAGCTGGGTTAATGGCTGAGGTCAGCACAGCCCTAGCTAAGCTGGGAAAGATCCACTGAATCCAAGCTTTATCATCCCAGTGGATCTTGCGTTTGAATCAAGCTGTTAATGTCATTATTGCTATATAAAATACTTGAGGTTTATGATGTGTGAACTGGGTAACTATTTCAATACTGAAATCTCCCCATATAGTCCAGGGTAGGGAATTATTTAACCTTAGGCTTTCATGCCCCCTCCCACAACCCAATTAACAATTTATTTGTGGATCAAGAATTTCCCCTGCCTTCTGTTTCTCTCCCCAGCTGATACCATCAACATTTCATGGATCCTGAAGGCCACTGAGCCCACTCAGGGCTGCCTGGGAGTGGAACCCAGCCAACAGAATGGCTGAGAGAGATCATCAGGGGGTTTGGGCTGGGTATTCATCAGTATGCGGATGATACCCAGCTCTACATCTCTTTTAAATCAGAACCAGTGAAGGCCGTGAAGGTCCTGTGTGGGTGCCTGGAGGTGGTTGGAGGATGGGTGGTGGCTAACAGATTGAGGTTGAATCCTGACAAGACAGAAGTACTGTTTTAGGGGGACAGAAGGAGGCAGGTATGGTCCTGGTCCTGAATGGGGTAACTGAGCCCCTGAAGGACCAGATGCGCAGCCTGGGAGTCATTTTGGACTAGCAGCTGTCCATGGAGGGGCAGGTCAATTCTGTGTCCAGGGCAACTGTTTATCAGCTCCATCTGGTACACAAGCTGAGACCCTACCTGCTCACAGGCTGTCTCGCCAGAGTGGTGCATGCTCTAGTTATCTCCTGCTAGGACTACTGCAATGTGCTCTACGTGGGGCTACCTTTGAAGGTGACCCGGAAACCACAACTAATTCAGAATGCAGCAGCTAGATTGGTAACTGGGAGTGTTCGCCGAGACCAGATAGCACCGGTCTTGAAAGACCTACATTGGCTCCCAGGACGTTTCCTAGCTAGCACAATTCAAAGTGTTGGTGCTGACCTTTAAAGCCCTAAACGGCCTTGGCCCAGTATACCTGAAGGAGCATCTCCACCCCCATCATTCAGCCCAGACACTGAGGTCCAGCACGAGGGCCTTCTGTCAGTTCCCTCACTGCGAGAAGTGAGGTTACAAGGAACCAGGCAGAGGGCCTTCTCAGTGGTGGTGCCCACCCTGTGGAACTCCCTCCCATCAGATGTCAAAGAAATAAACAACTATCTGACGTTGTAGGCAGCTGTAGGCAGCCCTGTTTAGGGAAGTTTTTAATGTTTGATGTTTTATTCGGTTTTTAATATTCTGTTGGGAGCCACCCAGAGTGGCTAGGAAAACCCAGCCAGATGGGCAGGATATAAATAATAAATTGTTTTTGTTGTTGTTATTGCTCCATTCCTGTCAGGAAGTATTATTTCTTTATGTTTTATGTATTGGGGGGGGGAATACCTTGCTGACCACATTTCTTCAAATGTTAGTTAAAAAGCACTTGGAACTCCTTTTTGTGACACTTTGAAGTCTATTCAAATGAAATATAATTTGGCTCTAATTTTAAAAGTCTTGCATCCCAGCAGGATCTGGGATCCCTCAGAATTTCCAAGCTGTCAAGTAAAAATATAGCAATACTAGTTAATATAAAATGTTTAGTGCTACCTATCTCTGAATTTTATTTCATTCATTAAATGATAAGGTACCACCACAGTCGAAGTGTGTCGAGGGCTGCCATCAGGGACACAGCAAGATAGTTCGGAAGGAGGAACCACCTTGCTGTTATGACTGTGCTCTGTGTCCAGAAGACATGATAGCCAATGAGACAGGTATGTGACAGTGCACATTTCTTTAGCTTGGGAATATTTAACAGTGAGTGCTTATTTTTAACATTATAAAATCAATCTTTAAATTGATCTGTAATCTCATATCACTTGAACCCATTAGAGTGGATATTATCAAGTGGTGAACTTAATGTTACATGATAATACACTGAACATTTGATTTGTGGTCATGTAAAATAATACTCACATCTGGGTTAATATATTCAAAAAAGTGGATGTAAGTAATTACACTTTCTATCAAAGAATGGTATTGCAGCATGCCATCCCTGATCTCCAAGTGGTGTAGATTCTAGGGGTTTGAGAGGTTTACACAGGATTTTGTTTCATCAGAATGAGGGACAGTGGAGACTGTAGTGTCTTTAGAATTTATGCTTTATGTTGGTTTAATGTGAATGATTTTTTGGACTAGGTGGAGCCCGAGGTTTTGTTTACTTCTTAACTGATGGTTCTGAATATTGCCTTGTTTAGTATTTGATTATGATTTTTTTTTTCTTAATGGATGTTATGTTATGTGAAATATTAATGAATTATATGATTCCTCCCAATTCCCCACCCCCAAGGTATGATATACTGTATATATATATTGTAATAAGTCACTTGGAACCCTTCAGGTAACAAGCAACTATTAAGTCTAAGAAATGAAAGAAATTACACACACACACACACACACACACACACACACAACCTGAGCCTACAATGGAGTGGTTCACAGCATTCACAGCAATAAGGTCTTGCTTCTCCCATAGCCACAGACTTGGGTGGAAAAAGAAATCAAGTGCAGTTCTCTCTCCCAGGCTTGTGCCTGCTTCTTGTTTCAAGATTCTAGCTCTCACTCACACACAACTAGGGCCTTTGTCCTTCTCATCAATAGCCAGATGAGGGAAGGGACTCACCCATTTGTCTTCTGGCATAGAGCTACTTCCTCTGTTACCTTCATGATCCTTATTTAGGCCATTACTTCACCTAGAGGTTGGCCTGGCAATTCCAACAATAGAATGCTTGCTAGATCTAAGAATTAGAAGGCACTTGGTCATATAGCCTATCCCTCCCACTGCAACCACACACACAAATCCCCCAACAACCTCACAACAGTATGGTAATGACTAAGAATTTTCCACACTGGCAAAAATGACTTGTTATCTTAGAAGTAAAAAGGGCAACAGAGTCAAAGCATCTTTATGATCAAGTGGGTACATTGCATTCAATGCAACAGGATTAGTATGTGTGTTTACATTAATATGAGTTTGCAGTAGTCTGAATATATTCTGAATATAGCATTCTGAATATAAATATCCAAGATGTCTTCATAGATCTGTCTATTTAATTTTAACTCAGTTTTTTATTTTATTTTTATTTGTATTCATATAATAAAGAAATAACATGTTAATAGTAATAAGAGTAATAGTAATAACCATACCATGCACATGTACCTAAATTGTCAAATATATTAATAAATTAATCAATGTTCTACTATAACCCATTCAGTATATAAGATTGCTTCATAAACTGCAAGACCTGTGCTCCTTCACACTCCCTTTCATATAGTCACTTTTAACTGTCCGTTTCTATATTTTAAAGTATATATGATATAATCACCTTTTAATTCCTAGTTTTTATCCCTTACCCCTTTTGGGTCCCATGTGTTCAGTTTATCTGTATTTTATCTTATGCTGGTCTGAAACCAAATTAAAGTTTGATACCGATACTGATTGCTTCATAAAAATCATTCTAATTAGATAAATTGCATGCATTTACCAATAAGGCAGGTTATATGTTTCTAAAGTGGCAACCCCATAAAAGTGAATGAAGTTTGACTATGAATAATGTTGCATCTCTACAAAAGGCAAACATTGCTGTATGGATGAATAGAATATATCAAACTGTTTTGGTTCTTTTAGATGCAGATAAGTGTGTCCAGTGCCAAGAAGATCAATATTCCAATATGAACAAAAATGAATGTATTTACAAGTCTATCACCTTCCTAACCTATGAGGAGCCATTGGGGATTGTTTTAATTTTCATAGCTCTTTCCTTTGCTGTGGTCACAGGTATGGTGATATACACCTTTATGAAGAACTGGAATACCCCCATTGTCAAAGCCAACAACCAGAACATTACCACCACTCTTCTCATCTCCATCCTGCTTTGCTTCCTTTCTTGCTTGCTCTTCATTGGCAAACCTGGGAAGGTGACTTGCCTTCTACGGCAAACAGCCTTTGGCATCATATTCTCGGTTGCAGTTTCTTCTGTGCTGGCAAAGACCATCATTGTGATCCTGGCCTTTCTGGCCACAAAGCCAGGCAACACAATGAGGAAATGGCTAGGGCAGAAGGTGGCAAATGCTGTTGTTCTCTCCTGCTCCCTCATCCAAGTAGGCATTTGTACTGCTTGGCTGTCAGTCTCTCCTCCATTCCCAGATCTTGACACACACTCTCTGGCTGGACACGTCATCGTTGAATGCAATGAAGGTTCAATCACCATGTTCTACAGTGTCCTTGGCTACCTGGGCTTTTTGGCCATCATCAGCTTCACTGTCGCTTTCCTCGCCAGAAAGCTGCCTGATTCTTTCAACGAAGCCAAGTTCATCACGTTCAGTATGTTGGTGTTTTGCAGTGTCTGGGTCTCCTTTATTCCAGGTTATCTGAGCACAAAAGGGAAATACATTGTGGCAGTGGAGGTGTTTGCCATCTTGGCTTCCAGCACTGGCCTCTTGGCTTGCATCTTCTTCCCCAAATGCTATATCATTGTTCTAAGACCTGATCTAAACAGCAGGAAGCAACTAACAGGAAAAGGGAATTGATGATCAATTCTTATTCTAACCTTTAAATGCATTTTTGTACTGTTTACCTTTGGTCCATTTCTCCATTGTCCAATCCAATTTTAAGGCACTTTAATCACTGAGCTATATTTGTAAATTAAGGCTGGCTAGTGAGGTTGGTTCTGGGCAATGGGTGGGCTTAATCACAGTTGACATTTGGTTTCAGCTACAACCATTATGGGATGGTGCTCTTATGAACAGTTAACAAACTTCAATAATCATAAGATTACTCTTGCAGCCCTTATGAATATATGAATTCCTTTTTATATATTTTAAATCTTTTTTAAAGTATTTTTTATAGAAGTTCATTGAAGATGCTACTGAATATCATATAACAAATGAATACCCTATAACAAGATTTATGCTGAATAAAATAAATTGTCAATAAACAGAAAAGATATATACTGTCATCAATCTCATTACTGGAGGTAACCCCACATTGCTGTTTGGGATGCTGGTAGGATTTATTAATGTATGTTGAATCGAAATAATGCAACACCAAATAATCCTATTTTGCTTTACCCTCAATGACTCACCTATGTTGGGTCAAATGTTAGGATAATGCTATGTCTTGGGGAAAAGTACCACCCCACCTCTGTTGGCATTGAACTCCACTTGCTAGTTCCAGCCACACTGCAGACAGTAAGATCGCTAATAATTCTATCTATCGGATTCTGTGATTATTACCACTTCCAGTTGAAAAGAGTGTCAAAATCAGGTCTAACTGGAGGATTTGCCTGGTAATTTTACCTAGCACAAAACAAAACAACACATCCTTCCAAAAAATTTGAGCTATAGGGCAATTCCTCCACATAGCATATGGCAGGGACGTTCAACTCCCAAGGGACTGTAATCTACTCACAGAATAAAAAAATCTGGCAGTGATCTTCCCCTTTTTTTGGGGGGGGTTTCAGTTGTTGAGCTTTATTTTTTAGGGAGGGGATACTAAAAAATTGAACTTTGTTAAAGGGGGATGGGAAACAATCAGCCTCAGAGCGAAATCCCCATCTTCCATTCTAGCGACCATGCGCGAATGGAGGATGGGGTAAGTGGGGAGGGCCGGATGCTCTTAGGCGACCGCAAAAGAAAAGGGTGACCTGTTGGACATCCCTGGCATATGGAATTGCGGTCATCCTATCAGTCTGTCCTCAGGTCCATAGCTGCTGTTGCTGAAAGCCAGGTCGGCTTTGGGTAAGACCTCCCTCATCCATCTGATTATTGATGAGGAGGCCAAACTGTTCCTTATCTCTGAGGCCTGGGTGGGTGAGCAGGGTGGAGTTGCCCTCCCCCAAATGTGCCCACCCGAGTATTTGGTGCAGCATCAGAGCAGATTTGAAGGTTGGGGAAGGGGAGTTACCGTAATCCACAGATATTCCTCCTCTCTCCCCAGGCTTTCTGTTCATTTTGGAGCAGGGAATGTGTGTTCCTGGCATTGGGCAATTGGGACATATTAGGTATTCTGGTGGTTTACCACCAACTTTGCTGCCCATCAGTCTGTTTTGCCAGAGGTGGTCTTGGAGATGGTGTTAAGAACTTCTGGACTTCTGGTTTGGGGGACTTCAATCTAAAGGGTTTGCAGATGACTCAGGAGGATTTTCTGGCTGATATGAGAGGTGCTCCTGTTGAAGCTCTGGCTGACCTCTGGGACATATGAATGGCTTGGGCCATTGACACAATCGCCTATGAGCACCCTCTTCCACTTCATTGAGCCTGTTTGGCTCCTTGCAATAGAAAAACTTCAGTCAAATGCAATCAAACACTGGTCTATACTTTGCTGCTCCCAATGCATCCTTATTGAGTCCAGCAGAGCTTTTCTGGTTATTGTGGTTAATCAGAATTTGGGGGTTATCCAGAGTTTTGGTGTATACTGACATCAATATGCTGATGGCACAGAGCTCTGAAATTCATTTACATCTGCAGGTGTGGCAGTTGGATGTGCTCCAAGTAAAAAAACACCTCCCTTCTCAGATGCAGGCTACTATTTTTACAGCAAAAGTTTTAGCTTACAACTCCTTTTCTAGACATTAGGCCAAATGTCAAGTACCAGAAACAAAGGTGTTCAGAGCAATGCAATAGAAGGAAACTTTCCCCGTATTTCCTTAGGGTGGACTTAAAACTTTTCTGTAATGATCTTGTAAACATGATTTTTTCCCTAGAAGCAAAGAAAGAGATTCAATGAGATCAGGGAGCTGCTTAGCTAGGCTGCAATTTTCAAAATTACTATGATTAATTCCAATTCTTGTAAGAAGAACAAAGAAAAATCTCAACTTAAAATGATGGGTGATGCAACACTGAATTGTGCTGAAGTCTTTGTTTATCATCAGTTCATCTCCTTCAAGGCTGGGCTAAATATGACTCCTGCTCTTTGGTCCCTTTCTCCACAGTTCTGCTTGTGTGTCTCTCATGAGAAACTTTAGCTGTGTGTCTAATTTAGGGAACCACTATAGCTTGGGGTGTAGTTCAGAATGTTAGCATGCTACTGTGGGCTGATGAGGCACATCCTTGCCCTTCAGTGGGTATTGCTGCTGCTGCTGTTGCTACTGCTTTTCCCTTCTCTTGTATCTAAAGACATAAAAGATGGATGCAGTTATGACAGAAGCATCCAAGACAATTTCTATCATCCAGGAGATGCTGTAATTGGTGGGATCTTCTCTCTTATATTTCCTCAATTTGATTGGCTCAGTTTTAAAAATCTTCCAGTTAATCATCACAAAGCATATAGGTAAGTTCGTCTTCACTGATTAGAAGTACAAATTCAACATGGAACCTGTGCCAAATATCTAAAGGATCTACTACACTCTTCCCATTGAAGAGCCTTCATGCTTGTGAGACTAAATGCTTTCTCTTCTCCAGTGACCAAATGCCAATTCTCACACACCCCATATCAAACCCGTTTGTGTGTCTGCAACCAAGAAGTGCCTGATTCAATGGACCAAATTCTCTTAGATTGTTCTTTACACAGTAGACTTCGCCAACTGATGCTGAGCAAAATATTGGACCTCAAATGAGGGTTTTCCTAGCAGACTGGGACAAAGATATCACTGCTCTAGTAGCTTCCTTTTTAGCCACAATCTTACCCGAAAGGGTTCCCAACAAACCATTTTTTTCAGGAAACAGGGTGTAGCAGAATATCTAAGTGCACATGATCACAGTGCGATCTTATAACCCTTGACAGCTTCACCCTTGAAATGTTTTATACTGTGATGCCAATAAAAGTATTTGATTTGATTTGAATTCAATTTGCCCAGTTATGATTATGGTTGGCCATTCATAGAGTGATCTGCGCATGACCGCAGTTCATGCAGTACACATTTGCATCACACTTGCATTTAAGAAACTCAGAAGTGCCCTGAATACTTTTTTTCTGAATTCCTTTTTGTTTTTTAAGGAAACCTAGAAGTGCAGTGACTATCAGAACATATTATATCAATGCCCAACTCATTCATGGAAATTATGAATAGAAGTGGAATTGCATAAAAATGACTCTTTTGGGGGGAGGGGCGTGGATGTGGGTGGGTGGGCGTGTATATTACATGAACTTTAAGGTTAGCATGTTGTATGCATTGCTGGGAAATAACACTGCAACAAATAAATGCTATACATATTGACAAATGAATAACAAACATAGTTCGAGTAGATACAGTTGCTAAGCTTTTAAAACAAGATTGAAAGGTGCATTAGCTGCCACACACACACAAAATAACTTGCAATTAAGTTTAAAAGTTGGGAGGCAAAATGGTAAGCTTTTGCTGAGAAATGTTCTGTAAATATACATGAGTCATATACATCTAAATGCTGCAAGTTGAAATGGTTTCCAAGAGAAAAATTGCCATCTATATGCACAGATATCCTGCAGTTTAAATGCTTGTTATACATAAGTTCACTTATTCAAACATGACGAATGAGTACCCAAACCTTGCTATATAAACTGCAGATTCAGATATACAAGCAGCCGGATATGCATCCGGTACTGTACAAAAATAAGCAGTCTTAAACAAGCCTTACTTTGTGTGTGTGTGTGTGTGTGTGTGTGTTGGTCTGCAACAGCCATTTTGCCAGAAGCCATGATGGATGGGAGAGAAGGGGAGGAAAGGGGAGTGACTGGACAAATAAGATAGTGTTCCCCCCCCCCTCCTTGTTTGCCGTGGGAAGGTTTCAGAGGGTTCTCGTAGTTTGTCAAGCTTTTCTTCATCATTTTGGGGTCAAACACCTGGAATTCATCAATGTGTCATGCAAAAGCTCTCCTAACAAGCCACCCTTAGCTCAGTTGGTAGAGCATGAGACTCTTAAACTCAGGGTTGTGGGTTTGAGCTCTGTGTTGGTTGAAAGATTCCCATTACAGGAATTTGGACTAGATGATCCTCGTGCTTCCTTAGAAGTTTACAATCCTACAAACCCCTGATTTCCTAAGAACACATTATATATTCCTTTGTGTATATGTGTATGTATGTATTACAGTATGTATGTATATGTGTATGTATGTATTACAGTATTTATAGGAACTCAAACACTGAGATCCTGCTCTGTTCCAGTAACAAGAAGCCGAAAGCACCAGCCTGAAGATGACGAGTGAGACCTCGTCGAAACGTCGCCTAGACACCCCAACTTTTACACGGGAAGACACCCGAGGACACCAAAACCTGCATATATATATATATATATATATATATATATATATATATATATATGAATAAAAATAGGGTGCACATATGTCTGGGGAAACCTGGACATGTCCTCTTTTGGGGGGCCAACGTGCCCATCCAGGTGGATTTTTACATTTTAAAGGAAATGTCTGGGTTTTTAAAAATCATGCTTGCTCGTGCTGTTCAGACTCGGGTTCATTTGAGCTCAAGCTTGCTCAGGCTCAGGCTCGCTGGACTCAGGCTTGCTGGCCTTGGGCTCACTCGGGCTGCTCTGTACACCGCAGCTGTTGCCAGCCCAAGCAGGGAAAAGAGGCTCACAGGCACAGCAGCAGCAGCCCTACATGCACCCATGTGCCTCTTTCCCCATCTTTGGCTGGCAATGGCTTGGGCTGTCCTCTTTTTTGCTCTTCAGTATATGGCAACACTAATAAAAATGTTGTTCAGTAACATGTATTTGAAGCAGATGATTTAATCTGTAGCACAATTTCATCCGTTATTTTTTTGCCAGTCAGTGTGCTGTCATCTTTTACTTGACATTCATTAATAAAACAAGGGGAGAACAAAGTTCAGTGAAGGGAATGCCAGAGATGATTTGGTGTTTGGGATTTGTAAGAAAAGCATCTGTTATAATAATATTAGTTCCACTTGTAGACTATGAGCCAAAGAAAATTGCCTTATCTTGTAGATGATATATTCCAATTTATGGATGTCTGAACACTAGTAATGACTTTCATGTTGGGCTTTGATTAATATTATTTCCTCATATAATATCAAACCATGAAAAACAACAACAATAAGAGCACAGTTCAGTCACTAATCTCATGGGGAATAGTCAATGCATGCTTATATTTATTTTAGATACCACTTTAGATATACCACTTGATACTAAAGAAAAACCTCAAAGTGGTTTCCTCAAAGGGATTCAATTTCGACAAGCTCACACCTCATCAAATATTCTCCCTATCACTCATGTTTCCACACCTACAGCCAGATTCAGAGAATGATAGAATAGTAGAGTTGGAAGGGACTGCAAGGGCCTTCAGGTCCAACCCCTTTCAATGTAGGAATTTCAGCTGAAGCATCCATGACAGATGGTCATCCAACCTCTGCTTAAATACCTCCCAGTTCCTTTTGTTCCATAACAGCCATTTCATATTCTCATGTGGATCAGGTGGACAGCAAACTTTCTGCATGAAACTGAGAGTGAAAATAATCTATATAATAGCCTATTACTGCTTGTCTATTTCATTGTAGTGCAGTGCTTCATAATTATCAGCATGTCCTCTCATTGATTTTTACCGTTCATGAGATCAATAAGAATCCCAGACTGTTGCCCAATGTCACTTTGGGTTTCCACATCTATGACAACCTTTTTGATGCAAAAAGTACATATGAGACCATCCTGGACCTATTGTTCTCAAAGCAAATGAATGCAATTAATAATTATGATATGAATAAGGATGTTTTGTCTGTCATTGGAGGTTTCAGTGTCGAAGATGCCTACCAGATGGCCACCATCTTGGATCAGTACAAGATACCACAGGTGTGTTTATGTGTGTGCATCTCAGCTTGTGCATGCAGGAATGTATAAATATAAATAAGGGTAAGCAATACACTACAGCTCCCAACCTCACACAAATACCACAGAGACTGTGAATTACTGTAATCTTGCTGAATCATGCCAGTTAGGATAGGAAAATTATAGCTCATCTTCAAGGGTACTGTTTTAACAAAATGAAAAAGTTTCATGTTAAAATAATGATTAAATAATGTGGATGGGGATGTATGGCTGTGCCAGTTACCCTCAAACCCACTAACTATGGGTAGATTCCACACATGTGCAGCTGTCTCATTTTTTTTATATTGCATGAAGGGACAATGGGAATATGCCAACTGGGGCAAAGCCTGGGGCACTGTCTCCAGTCTCCTTATCTACACCTTTTCATGGATGGAATCTGTGACTACGCCTAAGTACAGTGGTACCTTGAGTTACACACACCTCACATTACAAACGCTTCAGGTTACAAACTCCACTAACCTAGAAGAGTTACCTCGAGAACTTTGCCCCAGGATGAGAACGGAAATCGTGTGCCGGCTGTGCAGCAGCAGCAGCAAGAGGCCCCATTAGTAAAAGCACGCCTCTAGTTAAGAACAGTTTCAGGTTAAGAACAGACCTCCGGAACGAATTAAGTTTGTAACTAGTGGTACCACTGTACTGTGAAAACTGAAGATTAGCCAGTCCACACATACAAGTAAGCTTATGCAATTAGTAATTAACAGCACAAATCTTTGTATACATTTACTCAGAAGTAATATGTACTGCATTATGTTGAGCTTAGTCTGCTAGAGCAATAGCTTAGTCTGCTAGAGCTTAGTCTGCTAGAGCAATAGCCAAAAATATTAGGTTGGAAATCCCATACTATGTGTACTTTTGTCTGTGTGGAAGTAATACTGAGAGTATTGAAAACGTTATTTCTAAAGAATATGCTGGAGGAAAAATAGTATTACTAAATATTTGATGGGCATATTCTCCAAGTTCTAATAAGCCATGTTTCCTGCATTAGCTCACTTATGGAGCCTATGACACAACACTGAACAGTAAAGCTCATTTTCCTTCATTATATCGAATGGCACCAAGTGAAACAATTCAGCCTATTGGAATTGTCCAGATACTTCTTCATTTTCAATGGACATGGGTTGGCATCATTGCTTCAGATGATGATGATGGAGAAGGCTTTGTGCAGATTTTAACACCTCTGCTTACCCAGAATAGCATTTGTGTTGCCTTATTGCTCAAGATTGAAAAAGTGGAACTTGCCTATGGTGGGAAACCTACTACACAAATGTCAAGGATTGATGCAGCACTTGAGTCTGAAGTCAGTGTGTTTATTGTCAGTGGAAGTTACCATTCTCTATGGGACTTAAAACTTAGATTACGAGTACGTAAATTGTTTGAAACTGTTGATTTTAGGAAAGTTTGGATTACAACAGCTCGGTGGGATTTCACTAAGGAAACAAGTGTATTCCGTGGTTTTGATGACACATTCAATGGCACCTTGTATTTCTCAGTACAGACAGATCCCGTTCCCGGATTCGAGAATTTCCTGAAGAATTTAAAACTTGATGAATCAGTGATGCCCTTTCTCTGTTTATTCTGGCAATATGCATTTAGCTGTTCACTTTCTCGTGGAAAGTTTTCACGTTGCAAATATGATCGCAGATGTAAAGGAAAGGAAAAAGTAGAACGATTACCTGCATATATGTTTGACATGGATATTACTAGTAAGAGCTATGCTGTCTACAATGCTGTCTATGCAATAGCTCATGCTTTACATGCCATTGATGTGTCAAGTCAAACGCTAATGATGGATAGAGGCAAATTCAAACACTTGAATCTTCAGCCATGGCAGGTAAAGCCCATCGTTCTGATGAATTTCTTGCTGCAGGTGGAATCAACTCTGACGCTTACAATTTTAGAACAATCTTGTAACTAAGTTATCTTCTAGAGATCATTGAAAGATCTTCTAGAGATCTTTAAATACTAGGGGTGCACTTTGTATCTGTGTATCTCCAGGTTAAAGGTTGACCTTTTTATGTTCCCAGATTGGGCTATGCCATTAACCAGCTCCTTGAGTTCAATCAGCAATTCCCTGAAGTCCTGTTTTGCTCTGTTTCACAGACTCTTAAATGGCCCACCACACACACACACAGAGAGAAAATCAAGCTGACTTGGAAAATGCCCTGAGCTCAAGTGTAGAGGGGCATGAGAGTTGCAGTGTCTTCCATTTGGGTGGACATAGCTAACTTTTAATCTGGTGAACTATTTTCCCATAGCACCCCAATTACTGACATGACATGCCCTTGGGCGGGGGCGGAGGGGAGCTGTGTCCACACAATTACAACATTGGAGTAGAAGTCAACTCCCACCAACACCCCTTGGAATAATGTGGTCTTTTTTGGGTGTGACATTTTCGAACGCAAGTGCTCCGTGAAGATTTGTGCTATTTCCCTACGCCATTTCCTATATGCAAGCTAACTGAGAGATACATCCCAAGAGAAGAGGGTGTATTCCCCAAAACTCCATGGCTGGGGACAGAATCCCATGCCAGCCAATGGCCCAAGGTGTAACAGGTCCTTTGCCGGGTTGTCAAAAATTTCCCCACCCAGTCTTACCTGAGAATCTGGAGGAGACTGCCTTTGTGTGACTGCACTTAAAATACTGTGTACAGTTCTGGCACACTCACCTAAAAGCAGATATTGTAGACTTTGAAAAGTTACAAAAGGGGGGCAACCAAAATGATAAGTGAAGTGTAGCAACTTCCCTATGACTAAAGGATACAACATTTGGGACTTTTTTTATTAGAAAACAAAGGTTAGCAAAAGGTGGCACAATCAGCATCAGCATCAAACTTTATTTCAGTCACAGGCCAGCATAAGATAAAACACAAAGTTTAGAAAAATTATGCATAGTCTGGAGGAAGTGGATGGAGAAAACATTTTGTCCTTCTCTCATAATACTAGAACTCAGGGACATCCAATGATTCTCAATGCTGGATGATTCAAAAAAAAAAGTACTTCTTCACACATCACATAATTAAATTGTGGAATTTACACTAAAAATAGTTAGTGATGGACTCCAATCTGCATGGTTTTGAAAGGAAATAAGACACATTAATAGATGATAAAGCTATCAAGAGATTGTAGCTATGATGGTCATGTTTTGACTGTGCAAAGGGAGTGCCTCTGAAAATCAGAGAAAAGGATGCTGGACAAAATGGGTCTTTGGCCAGACCCACAGGCCCTTCTTACAATATCATGCTTTAATTGAAAAGTATTTCTCTCTGACTGGATGCTAATTTAAACAGATTCAATATAATATGCTCAAATTTACAGAAACACAATAACATTTTTCTCACTTTAGGTCAATTCTTTATTGAAAAATATCCACTTTAACAATGGTGCTGGGCAGGAAGTCTTGATAGAAAATGGAGAAGTTTCAGCTGGCTATGATATCATCAACTGGGTTCTTTTTCAAAACCAGTCATTCCTCAAACTCCAGGTTGGAAAAATTTCAGCAAGTCACAGTTTCACCCTCAGAGACGATATAATTAGGTGGAATAGCAAATTGAAACAGGTATGAATTTAACTATTTTTTTAAAAAAAATCCCAGAAACACCCCCAGGCAAAACACTACAACCAAAATCCTATTTCATGTGCAACACTTATAAAAGTGTGAGTTCTGCAGATCTGCACAGTGAGTGAACATTTATGGAGTAAGGTGATCTTTAAAGCTTACACTATTTGATGGTTGTTGGGTTTCAGTATTTTTAAATGCACAGCTTCAACTCACTTTTCAAAATTGCATCTCCCCCCCCCCAAAAGTATTATCATATGCCACAACCCAATCTCTGAGTAATTCAAGTTTCCAGGGGGTTCCAGGTGCATTTACAAAGGTCTCTTGTTTTCTTTTGGACAATGAGGCACAGTGGAGACTGTGGTGTCTTCATGAGATATGGTTTATCTAGACATATATACAACCTGAGCTTGTCATGGAGGAGTCAGAGCATCAATATTCCAAGAGGCCCTGCTTCTCCCATAGATCCAGCAGCATTCCTGTCTTGCAACTTGCCTTCTTAGGTCACATAACACCTAACTGACCCTCCTATCTCTCCCTGGACTAAACTTCTGCACACATTATTTCCAAGTGTCTATTCTATACTCCTGTCTTTTGCATACAGGGTGAGAGAGGGCCTCATTCAAAAGCCTTTTCACACTTAGCCCTTTGATCTTGTGTTGTGTTAACAACCCATTTCTCCAGGCTAACACCTCAAAGGAAATTATCTTTTGAAACACATGTTGATTCTCATGGATTGGGAAGTTTAGTGCACAATTCAGGAAGTTTCAGCAATGCTAATTCCAGAGAAATAAAATAATTTAACACATTCCAAATACACACATGGGTCTAGTAATCAGTTTTAACCCACAAACCTTAATTAAATCCTATGACCTACTGCATCCAGAGATTACAGTGGTTCGGCCAAAGTTTCTTCCTTTCGACCAAACCAGAGAGATCAAGAGTGGGGTCTTGTCATATTGTGGCAAACCAGGACTTTCATGCACAATGCCCATGATTCCATCCCAGAGACGCCCCTTTGGTGCTGTTAATATAGCAACAAGAATGCAGTTTCACTTCACCTCAGAGGCACACTCTGCCATCTCTTGCATCAGACAAATACAAAAACAACAACAAATGCTAAACCCACAGGACTCTTGATGCTACATTCAGTTCTTAAACTTTTTGTATGATCAGATACCACCCCAAGCAAAGTGTGTTGAGAGCTGCCCACTTGGATACAGGAAGATGGATCAGGCAGGAAAACAGGCCTGCTGCTATGACTGTGCTCCATGTCCAGAAGACATGATATCTAATGAAACAGGTATGTGATGTCACTCTTTATGATGTGTATCATATATCTATATCTAGATCATCTATATCTATTAGATATAGATATTTGTTTCATGGAATGAAACAAAGATATAGAATGGTTACATAAAGACTAATGAATATAAAATGAGATACACTATACAAATGCCAATCTGATCATGTTAGCACAACAACATTAGCAGCTAAAGCAAATATAATCATCCCTGTAAAGTGGGGGGATTCTGAGGAACCAGCAGGGCCAGCGGGGTGCAGACTGGATCCTAAGCCCATTCAGCTGGGTCACATGACCTGGTAACCTGATGTAAGTTAAGCTACCTTAATGAGTATTCAAAAGGCTTGTTTTCCCTCTAAGAGAACAGTTCAGTCAGCAGGAACACAATTCCAACAGAGCTTGGAAGTGGGGAATTTTGCACTGGCATAACTTGTGCCAGATTTCTTTACACGTGTTTCTGTTGAATAGGTTTGTTTCCGATATTTCTTCCTGGGGGAGGGGGAGGGGATTCCTGTGCATGTACATTTCATCCACTTTAGTAAAAAGTAGAAAATTCATAGTCATTCAATGGGAAACCCAGCTTCATTTTGCATAGACCAAGTGGCTTGGATCCCAAAAAAGCAGACCTAAGGGGAGACAGCACAGATGGATGTGGAAACATATCATTGTTTAAGATTGAGAAATGAGAAATACAGTGTAAAATCCTAGTGTTTGCTGCTCAATTTACAAGCTTTCATTCTTGACCAAAAATACCTTTCTGGTGTGGTGTAGTGGTTAAGAGTGGTAGACTCGTAATCTGGTGAACCGGGTTCGTGTCTCTGCTCCTCCACATGCAGCTGCTAGGTGACCTTGGGCTAGTCACACTTCTTTGAAGTCTCTCAGCCCCACTCACCTCACAGAGTGTTTGTTGTGGGGGAGGAAGGGAAAGGAGAATGTTAGCCGCTTTGAGACTCCTTAGGGTAGAGATAAAGCGGAATATCAAATCCAAACTCTTCTTTCTATCTCTTCATTTTGATATAGATCAAGAAAAGCCAATGTGGTGTCCTGCAGATTTTGTTCCATCGTTCCTGGTCAGGGCTGTTTGCGGCTCAGGGAGTCCAACAACACCAGTGGGCAAAATGCAGACATAAGCATATTTAAAGCATTAAGTCTTTTTTTTTATTATCTCTGCATGAAATGAACAGTGATATAGAAATGGGGTGGGGTGGACCTAATGATACTGTGTTTTGTCTTTTTAGATGCAATTAATTGTGCCAAGTGCCCAGAAGAGCAGTATCCAAATGCGGACAAAAATGAATGCATCTACAAAGTCAAAACTTTCCTAACCTATGAGGAGCCCTTGGGAATCGTTTTAGTTTTCATAGCTCTTTCCTTTGCTGTGGTCACTGGTATGGTGATATACACCTTTATGAAAAACTGGAATACCCCCATTGTCAAAGCCAACAACCAGAACATTACCATCACTCTTCTCATCTCCATCCTGCTTTGCTTCCTTTCTTGCTTGCTCTTCATTGGCAAACCTGGGAAGGTGACTTGCCTTCTACGGCAAACAGCCTTTGGCATTGTGTTCTCGGTTGCAGTTTCTTCTGTGCTGGCAAAGACCATCATTGTGATCCTGGCCTTTCTGGCCACAAAGCCGGGCAACACAATGAGGAAATGGCTAGGGCAGAAGGTGGCAAATGCTGTTGTTCTCTCCTGCTCCCTCATCCAAGTAGGCATTTGTACTGCTTGGCTGTCCGTCTCTCCTCCATTCCTAGATCTTGACACGCACTCTCTGTCTGGGCACATCATCGTTGAATGCAATGAAGGTTCAATCACCATGTTCTACAGTGTCCTTGGCTACCTGGGCTTTTTGGCCATCATCAGCTTCACTGTGGCTTTCCTCGCCAGAAAGCTGCCTGACTCTTTCAACGAAGCCAAGTTCATCACATTCAGCATGTTGGTGTTTTGCAGTGTCTGGGTCTCCTTTATTCCAGGTTATCTGAGCACAAAAGGGAAATACATTGTGGCAGTAGAGGTGTTTGCCATCTTGGCTTCCAACACTGGCCTCTTGGCTTGCATCTTCTTCCCCAAATGTTATATCATCGTTCTAAGACCTGATCTAAACACCAGGAAGCAACTAACAGGAAAAGGGAATTAATTATTTATCCTTATTAAAACCTTAATTGTTTGTGTGTGTGTGTGTGTTGTGTACTTTCAGTCCTTCTCCATTTTCTATCCAGCTTTCATGCAATGTATTCATTGAACTGTATTTGTAGATCAACATTTCTAGTGATGTTGGTTCTATGTAATCCGTTGGATTAATCATGTCACAGTTGACGGTTAGCTTTCAGAGGAATTGTGGGGTGGTGCTTTGAATAGAAGTGAAAATAATAGCTGTTCATCCCTGCTGATATAAAACACCAAAAAATTCCATAGACATAACAACACTTTTGCAGCCTTCATGAATATATGGTTATTGAATTTTTGTGGGTGTGGCGGGGGATATGTTGTATGCTTGAGCCTCTTTACAATTCCTGGATGCAACACGCATCCAATTCCTGAAATATCCAAGCTATCTTCCTGGTGAGATAATGGCCTTTTAGGTATGGGCCATTAAGATAACAAAGGGAGTGGTTCTGTGGCATATGGCAAATGGGTTGAGCCGTCTTCCTCAACTCACTGCTTAATAGAAATACAAAGGCCATGGTTGAGAGTTGAGTCTTGGAAGCTATAGAATCTGGAAACTTCAAGTTGGGCAGCTGGGAAAGACAGATTTCTGATTTCTGTTGAAATCCCAGTATGTGGCTCTGGGAGCAGCAAGACCCTCTTGGAGTGTTAATGCTGTGAACACATCCATTGTAGGCTAAGGTTCTATAGATGTGCAAATAAACCCCTTGGCCTAAAGACACCACAGTCTCCACTGTGCCTCATTCTAAAGGAAACAGAGATCCTGGGTAAGCACCTAGGACCCCTGGAATCTTGCAACACTTGGTGATTGGAGTGGTATGCAACAATATGGATCTGTCTTACACTTCTTAATATTTTATTTTATTACTTATTTTGCCAAACTGTCTGAACAGACAGACACTCTCCCCTTTTTCTTGAGGAAGTTTCAGGAAACTTACTCCTAAAGGGAGGGAATACAGCTGGATATGGCTAGCCTTCCTAGCCAATCACAAAGGAGACTGGCATCCTGGCATTCAAGTTTGAAACATCTACTCATTAATCTTCCTTCTTCTTGCAACATCCAGGCTCCCAGAATTTAGGTGGCCTAAGCTGGGTGGATGGGGTGGCTGAGTAGAATTTTTTTTTTTTAGAGGGGGCTGCCTCTGTCTGTGTTGGAGAAAGAGGTTTGGAAGAGAGATTCCTAATCTCCAGGACAGTGATACCTCAAGTTACAAACGCCTCAGGTTAAAAATGCTTCAGGTTACAAACTCTGCTAACCTGGAAGAGTTACCTTGAGTTGAAAACTTTGCCCCAGGATGAGAACGGAAATTGTGTGCTGGCGGTGCAGCGGCAGCAAGAGGCCCCATTAGCTAAAGCACGCCTCTAGTTAAGAACAGTTTCAGGTTAAGAATGGACCTCCGGAACAAATTAAGTTCGTAACTAGAGGTACCACTGTACAATTGTGATTGCTACCAAGTACATAGTTAGATTTATACCTGCCCCCATCCATCTTTAAACAAACATTCCACATGAAAATACTCAGGCTAGAATGAATCACAGGCACTTAGCTTTGCAAATAAGTGAATTGTTGCTGTTGTAGTTGTAGTTGTTGTTGTTGTTTATATACCACGATATACCTACAGGTCTCAGGGTGGTTTACAGAATAAAATCAAAAAATAAAACCACAAAAAACAACAACAACCCAGTAACACCCCCTGTGGTTTACTCACAGAGTTTCCAGCAGTGGCATGAAACAAATTTTCATCAACTGGGAGTAAAACAAAGAAGAAGAAAGGTTCCAAACGTCTTAAAAAGAAAAGTACTTGGTTTCTTTACAAAAAGGATCATGTAGTCTTTGGGTTAGCAAAGCTTATAAAATCCTTTCTTAGAGAGATTCTTCATTTCACGTGCAGTATTTGCCAAGTTGGGAGCCAAACTATGGCTCCTTCTTGTATTGGTCCAAGAAGCACACAAAGACTGAGAAGGGGGAATTGGAGGCTGCTGAGTGCCTGCTAAGCCACAGCCACTTTAAACATGAGCTCAGGGCTTAGGTTAATGCTTTTTATATATATACAAATAGAATGCTCCACACAATGGAGACCCCTGATAAAGCAGAATACTTGATAGTGTGAGGTGTTCTATTCACATTAAGATAAATGGATGTGGATGCCCACTGCAGTGGGTGGGATTTCGTGCACAAGGATGTTGAGATGGGGTGTCCATGTACAATCTTTGCCTCCATTCATGGATACAATGTCCGTATGCTTAGGCGAACTGGCATTTATCATAAAATGATGAGCAACCTTGGAGCCCCTATGGTTAGGTAGAAAGGCAGCATACAAATATTTTAAATATGGAAATAATTATTAGCAAAAGGTTGTCTCCAACTAAGTTCTACTCTAAGTAGCCCCATTGAAATTAATAGTTGGAAGTTTGTTATGTCAATTCATGCCAATGACTCTGCTCTAAATGTGAAAGATATTGGACACAACCCTAGTAGTCTTCCATCTGAGGTCACCAGGCAAAATTCATTTCTATTTTTTCTGAGACATTTTCCGCAAAGCACCTTGGATCTCTTTGTTTCTCAGGCTATAAATTATGGGATTCATCAGAGGTGGCAAAATGGCATACAAAACAGCAGCCAACAAATCCAGAGATGGAGAGGACAAAGCCTTTGGTCTCATGTAGGATAGCATAACAGTAGAAACAAACAAAGAAAATATGGTCAAATGTGGGATACAGGTGGAAAAGGCTTTATACCTTCCCTGTGCTGACTGAATCTTGAACACTGCAGAGAAGATATAACTGTAGGACACCAAGACAAGCGAAAAGCAGAACAACCCCACACAAAAGACACTGGCAAGCGTGAAGCGCTCACTGGCTTCCGTGTTTGTACAAGATATCCTATATAACTGAGGGATATCACAGAAATATTGTTCAATCACATTAGACTGGCAGAAATGTAGCCTAAATGTGTTTACAGTGTGGATCACACCATTGAGGACACTGCTGAGCAACGAAGCAGCTGCCATTTGAAGACAGGCATTCCAGTTCATAATCAGCATGTATTGTAGCGGGTGGCAGATTGCTACATAACGGTCATAAGCCATAACAGTGAGAAAGGACAGCTCAGCCCCTGCAAATGTGACAACCAGGAAAACCTGGGTGACACAGCCAGAGAATGAAATCACATTGACATTAATCAAGGAATTGACCATGGATTTGGGCACAGTGGTAGAAATGTAGCAGGCATCAATGGAGGATAGGAAAGCCAGGAAAAAATACATGGGAGTATGAAGATGTTGGATTCGGGTTATGGTTACGATGATGAGGAAGTTCCCCATTAAGGCTGCTAAATAAAGAGAGAGAAACAACACAAAATGTAAGATCTGGAGCTCTCGAATATCAGAAAACCCTAGAAGGATGAATTCTGTCACAGATGTTTGGTTTACCATTCCTTTGGTTGGAAAATATTCTGTGGAGAGAACAGGAGGAAATGTTGGCAAGAAAGCAAAGATTTTGCAAGTTTCTTTGACACCATTGTGTGTTTAGCAAACCCACTATGAGCTTTTATTTTTTGGTAAAACACAAAGTGTAAAGCAAAGATGTATAAGAGTGGCTATATAAGGTGGTTGGGAGAAGAACATTATCTAACTGAATGGCTTTGACATACAGTGGTACCTCGGGTTACATTCGCTTCAAGTTACATATGCTTCAGGTTACAGACTCCACTAACCCAGAAATAGTACCTCGGGTTAAGAACTTTGCTTCAGGATGAGAACAGAAATCATGTGGCGGCGGCATTGCGGCAGCAGGAGGCCCCTTTAGCTAAAGTGGTGCTTCAGGTTAAGAACAGTTTCAGGTTAAGAACGGACCTCCGGAACAAATTAAGTACGTAACCAGAGGTACCACTGTACTCTGGATTCCTAATTCACAGTTTGTCTGTGCTTGGGAGATGGAGGGTCTTCCCTGTTAACAGAACAACTTGAATAATTAAAATAGAGTCCAGAGATAAAATGAAACAAAAACAGTGCATAATTTGAGCAGAGGGGGAAACAGATTTTGTCTTTTTTATGTCAGGCCTTGTACAGAAAAGGCAGATGTTCAACAAACATACAGAGGAAAATTCCCTCAAAGCTAACAAGACAATAATAATTCATGTTATATCAGCAAGGATCATGCCATTCTGATAGGTAGGTACACAACATCTCCTCCTCCACCACCACTGTCAGCAGAATTAACCCTTGAGTTACCAGCTGAATGATCCCTGCTGTTGTTCTTCCAACAGTTCCTAGATATTTTATGCTTATACTTTAAGTAGCAAACCAGGAGTTCAGAGATGGCAAACCAGGCACCATTAAGAGGTTTGTGGATTACAGCTCCCATAAACCCTGTCCATTTACCATTGTAGCTGGGTTGATGGGAGTTGCAGAATCCGGAATCTGGAGGGTCACAAATTTCCCATCTATGTACTAGTAGAATATACATATAATTGGAAGAAAAGAAAGAAGAGATCATGAAACAAGGAAAACTGTCTTTCTTTTCTACATTGCAACTTGTTCATTGAATTAGCTGGTTATATTGTCAGTCTTAAAAGAATGTATTATTTTGCTTTTCAAATCTCATTTGCCACATTTCTTTCCTACAATGTACATCCTTCCTTTTTATTTAAATTTTTTGAATCACAGTTTCTTATCAGTTTGCAGGTCTTCTGCATTCACAATCTAGAATGGTTTAAAATTTAATGGGGAGGCTGTAGCATTACTGTCACACTACTGTGACTAATGACTAGTAAATACATCCTTATAAGCAATCTACATGTTTTCAGTAACAGTTGATGAAATTTGGGCACCAGTAAGCCACACATTTGTTTTCTAGTTCCTCATTGAATTGCCTCCTACTATAATTGTTCAAATTCACAATTTATTCAAATTTACTTAGATTTCAGTCAATTAGCTAGAGAAACAAAAACCAGAAAATCATTTCCAAACCTTAACTTACCTGTTAATTTCTCTTAAGAATGCCTTTTTGATATAATGATGCAATCACTGTGTTTATTTGGAGACGATTGATCTATCTCTGCTCGTGTTCAGATTTCAAGAATCTGTTCTTCAGAAATCTGCATATGTAGCAGCAGAGACCCAAAGGGAGAAATTAAAACAGAAATTGAGTAGCATGGACTTACCCACAAGGGTGTTGTGGATGTCTACAGGGCTCTCACCACAAGAACCTTGGAAGATAAAGCAACTGTCTAATAACCACTTAACAGAACACAAAATAATGAAACATTTTCATTTCTTTAAAGCTCCACTTATAGTTTTTGTCTCCCTGGTTTACTGCCTTTTTGCCCCTTTCCTTTTCAGGGGCCTTGATATGCTCTAGAAGGTCATCCTCAATCACTGTTTCCATTGACATTCTGTGGAGAACTGTACAGTTCTATTCAAAGTGCATGAAAACAAAACAAAGGGGTTGAGAAGCTATGGAGAACAAGGAAGGAACAAAAAGGAAATGGGTATAAGTGTGGCTCTCTTTTTTTAATAGCACAAAAAGGTGGAAGTGCAATAAGTCTTTTCCTTCCTTCCTTCCTTCCTTCCTTCCTTCCTTCCTTCCTTCCGACAACCTGGAGGTGTGGTGGAGAGGCTTATCCAAGATGTTTAATATGGTAGTGACAGCCTCCTCCAAAAAACACATACCAAGGACATTTATCTATGGAATGCCTGAAAGAATGGACTGTGTGGAATTTTATGAGGATTTGCACATTAAAGAGAGCTCAACTTTGATTTATTATGGTTTTGATGAGACACCAGCTCGTTAAAAGCAAGGAGATGAATATTGGAAGTGGTTCAGAAGTCACAGCCAGACCTGGACTGCTTTCGATTTCAAAGCAAGATGGAGAGTTGTGGCATACTTGCAAAAGAGCTCTCGGCGGAGGAAAGAGAACTGATTCCAACATGAACAAAAGAAGGAAAACAAATACAGTGGTACCTTGGGTTAAGTACTTAATTTGGAGGTCCGTTCTTAACCTGAAACTGTTCTTAACCTGAAGCACCACTTTAGCTAATGGGGCCTCCTGCTGCTGCCACGCCACCAGAGCACAATTTCTGTTCTCATGCTGAAGCAAAGTTCTTAACCCGAGGTACTATTTCTGGGTTAGCAGAGTCTGTAACCTGAAGCGTATGTAACCTGAAGCATATGTAACCTGAGGTACCACTGTATTCCACACAGCTACATGAAATAAATTCTCTCTGCAAAGTAACTGATATGGATTTATAGAAACATCTTTGAAAGTCATTACATCAGTGGCTGCAAGAACAAAGCATTAGATTGGAATAGTGGAACTTGGATTAATTAAAAGAATTGGCGCAGGATCAAGGGAACAATATCAACTCCTGACAGCCGGAACACAGGAAGTCAGCCAAAATGTTTGGCTTGTATTGAGATTGGGCATGATTTGGAAATGTATTCATGTGGTTACCATTGGATTGTTATTAATGAAAAATTAATAAAAAGTATTTAAAAATATAAGCATAAATAATGCTTGTGTGTGGTCTACTTCATCACTAGGGCTTCAGGAATGAAACTGCATTGAGGAGAAGCCAGCCACAGAACCCGTGGCTCCACGCTCAGTCTCCTCTGCCCCCTGAACTGTTAGCATTTCACTGCTCCATTGCTGGATGTGTAATTACATGTCTATGTTTAGTTTCCAGGCTTGGAAACTGTGAGAACGGAAGCTAGTCTTATCTCTTCCACTCTGTTGTACTGCTGTACTTTCTCTCTCTCTTTTGGAAAAAGAAGAGAGGAAACGCCATAATTCCTTTGTCCTGTATATATTGTTTAATAAATACTTAGAAAGCACACACCAAGCTCCACTTCATTTCTGCTATACTCTGCTGAGTTGAGTCATTGAGTGTGCACGTAATCATCTGATATGTGTCACTGGGAGCGTGCCAGGATTGGAGATTTATGGACGTCCCAAGCTGCGCGTCACCAGGAAGGCACCGGAGAGGCACCCCCCCTCATGGGGGGGGGCGCCCTCAGCCCTAGCTCAAGAATTATTTGAGGGCCACAAAGAGTTCAGCCCCCCCCCCCCGGGCTAGGACCCATGTCTCCTGCACAGTTCACAAGTTGTTATTAATAAAGTGGCCCTAGTTTAAACCCACATCTTTTGTCCTGCCTATTTTTTTCCCACCTGTCTCCTCATGAAAACAAGACAGTGGTGGCAATCTTGGTGTGTGTGTGTCCCCAAACCTTCCCTCCCAATTCTTCATCAATCTCTGTTCTAACTAAAAGGCCAGTGCTGGGAATCTTTTTTCCTGGATCATCTTGTGGAGGCCATTGAAGGCCCATATGTATCCAACCTGTGGTCTTTTGTAGAATGGGTTTGGACAGTGATGTTGGGGGTGGGCTGGAGGGTTTCCTTGCAAAGCATATGCCAAGAAATGTGAAAGGGATTTGCTGGTGAAGACCAGTAACATTCCCAACATGCTTCCCAATTAAGTTTGTCACTTACCATAATATATACCATGGTTCCACCACTGATGAATCCAGTAACTTACAGCTTGAGAAGCAAGGTGGTAAAAGGTGCTTTGTCAAAAGTACTGGGTTTGAGGCACTCTTCTATGAATGCCCTCTCTAGATTTTTCTTCAAATGTGAAGGGCCTGGATATGTTTTGCTTAGTTTTCTCTGTTGCTCCAGATGGAAAGACCTGCATCAAGAGGTTGGATTTGCAACGAAGGACATTTTTATGGAACATTGCATTGGCAGTAAAATAAAAAGGTAAAGGTACCCCTGCCCGTATGGGCCAGTCTTGACAGACTCTAGGGTTGTGCGCCCATCTCACTCAAGAGGCCGGGGGCCAGCGCTGTCCGGAGACACTTCCGGGTCACGTGGCCAGCGTGACATCGCTGCTCTGGCGAGCCAGAGCCGCACACGGAAACGCCGTTTACCTTCCTGCTAGTAAGCGGTCCCTATTTATCTACTTGCACTCGGAGGTGCTTTCAAACTGCTAGGTTGGCAGGCGCTGGGACCGAACAACGGGAGTGCACCCGCCGCGGGGATTCGAACCGCCGACCTTTCGATCGGCAAGCCCTAGGCACTGAGGCTTTTACCCACAGCGCCACCCGCGCTGTAAAATAGGTTTTGTCAAAGGGTGATGAAGTCCTTTTTAAGGACTTGGTGCTAACAACACCAAGGTCATGGGTTTGGCTTCTGTAAGGGCAAAGAGGTCTTTGATTCCTGCATTGCAAAGGGTTGGACTAGATGACCCTTGGTGCCCCTTACAACTCTTACAATTATATGATTCTATGATACTTTTTTAACAAGACAGTTAGTGTGTGAGATAGCATCTAGGTGTAGGGCAAAAGCATCAGGAACATTCAGGCATTCTGGAGAGCCAATGCCAGTGAGTGTAAAAAATGCTGAGCTACATAGACCAATGGTCTGATTCAGTACAAG